TGAGCTCAGAGATAATTGAACCCAGGGCTCCCGCCTAGTCGACTGAGCATGTAAGGGGAGGTTGTTCTCAAGGGAGATCAGGTAGTTCTCAAGAGCTCCCAGTGTTAAAGGAAGAAAGGGGGAGAAGGGGTGGAGAGGGGGTTTCTTTGGAAAATTAAGATAAGGAAATAATTTTAGCTGGGCAACTTATAGTGAATTTGGATTAATCTAACTATACTAATTAAAACTAATAATTGTAGATAAGAGACCAATCATATCATGTGCTCCTCTCAAAATTAGTTTGTGAAACTTCACCAAGGACTTGAATAGGTGCGTACAACATCAACTGATAGACTTATATAAAGGTCCATGTACTGACTGAGAAAATAAGATTATAGCTTGTCTTTGTCTAGAATAAATCTTTTAAAAATTGTCTCAGAATTGTAGGCATGCTCTGAAAGATTAACCAAATATTTCCATATTGTCAAAATCGTGGGTAAAATGCACCAATGCCCTATTTATAGTAATAATAGACACTGACTGACCATAGACTTGAATTACACTGTTGTATTCACTTGAGATATATGAACATGTCATTTTATCTGGCATTAAGTCTGTTGGATTATTAACAAGCAATTTACTCCAAGCAATGACTTACATAATTTCTACAGTATACAGCAGATGTATTACATAGCTCAACCAAAGTAAAATAAACTACATACGGGAAAACAGAACAACCTCATGGCTTTTCACAGCTATGATTAATCACCTGTTTATCGTGTATACACTACCAGACAAAAGTCTTGTCGCCTTTCCAAGTTTTAAGAACAACAAATAATAACTTGATTTCCAGTTGATTATTTGGTATGAGAAGTTGCTTATATGAAAGGCAAAAGCCTCTAGATTATGCTTATTTTAGCAGAATAAAATATGATCATGACTTGATTTTTAATTAGTTAATTAGGACAGTTAGGTCTGACTTTAATGTACAGTATAGAAAATAAAGTCATGGTGGAGTGGAAAAATATTTAATATTGCGAATAACTTCCATGAGCTTGAAGACTGCATCCATACATCTCTGCAATGACTAATTAATGACTCTAAAATAAATTGTTATTGTAATAAAGTCATCTGGGATGGCAAAGAAACCATTCTTGCAGGACTATCGGAGTTCCTCAAGATTCTTTGGGTTCATTTTCAATGCCTCCTCCTTCATCTTACCCCAGACATGCTCAATAATGTTCATATCTGGTAACTGGGCTGGCCAATCCTGGAGCACCTTGAGCTTCTTTGCTTTCAGGAACTTTGATGTGGAGCCTAAAGTTTGAGAAGGAGCGCTATCCTGCTGAAGAATAGCCTTCTTCTGTGGTTTATAATGTAATGGGCTGCACAAATGTCTTGATACCTTAGGCTGTTGATGTTGCCATCCATTCTGCAGATCTCTTGCATACCCCCATACTGAAAGTAACCCCAAACCATGATTTTTACTTTGCCAAACTCAACAAATTTCTGTGAGAACCTTGGGTCCATGTGGGTATCCAATAGGCCCTGCAGTATTTGTGATGATTGGGATGAAGTTCAACAGATGATTCATCTGAAAAATCTACTTTCTGCCACTTTTCTAAATGATCAACTAGAAGTCAAGTTATTATTTGTTGCCCTTACTACTGGGATCGATGACAAGACTTTGGTCAGGTAGTGTAGATCCTACTAAAATTTTAAACAAACTAAAACCTGCACATTATGTTTTCACAAAGGTCACCTCAGGCCTGTTTTCCCGAAAGCAAATACTCCACAGATTTGTCACACCCTTGTTGATTCTTTTACTTAAACTGTTTGTTGGAGAAAACAAGGGGAAATCCTAACAGACAGGAAGGTTCCCCTTTTATAAAACAGGACTCAAAAGTACATTGCCAAAAATATTCAGGCTACAAAACAATGCGAGGGCAAAATATCTGGATGACAAATTTGAGCCTGGACGACTCACCATCGACTAACAATTGATCAGAATGATGTCACCAGCACTATTATCGACTTAAACTGTACTCCTGTGATACGTGTACAGGAATTCAGCCTGCGGTGATAATCACTTCGGAGTCCGAAATATGCACATAAACAAAGGAACTCGCATTGAATATGAAATAGCACAGCAGTGAAGTCAAGGCCAAAGCAATATTGTTGATCTTAGGAAGCTCGTCCCTAATAAACACAGAGGTGGGCGGTCATCATGCACAGCACAAAATAAAGAAGTCAAATTGGGCTTCAGCAGCACTTGAAGACATAAAAGAGCTAAGAAAGTGCCAAAGGTCTTTTCAATACTCGGACGTTTTGAGGAGGGAAAACGTCTTTGTTCCTTTGTTTAAATAGAGCGGCTTGTCTGGTGGTCCGATCTGAGGTGTATAAATAATAATGGTATTGTATCCTTATGTGCAGGTCACACATGCTCAATCAAACACATGGCAGGCTGCTCCCATATTCTCAAGAACACATTGACATTTCTCTATAAATAGGGGGAAGTACTTTAGACTGCTATACGCTTGAGGAAAACACGACTTCCCTAATAATGCAGTAGGCCTATATGCTGATAAAAGACTAAATGTGTCTGCCATATGAGCTTCCTACTAATGATAAGCATGAGTAGAAATCTTTTCCGTGTTATAAAAATATACGGGCCTCGCGCGAGAACATTAAGATCATATATGATATCAGTCTGTGCTGAGAGGTTTTAACAGCGAATTATGTTTTGTTAAGCATTTGTGGTCAAAAGTATAATTTCTGCCTCAAAACCAGGGTACGAGTTAAAGAGGGGTTTGGTTTGGAGGGGATTGACCCCCTTAATTAACACTTGATCTCTCCCTCATCAAGACAAGATGTATGGGGGGGGGGGGGGGGGTGTCAGCCCTTTAATACTGAAAAATAGTTTTCCCTTATCTGTATCTTAAATAATAGTATTAATATTTAAAATAATAGATATACGAATATACATTTGATCATCCCTATAATGGTCCATCCCACTATAGGGTTTCTTGCATAATGGCGCCAATAGGGTATATGCAGTGCAAGTGTTTCTTCCCATACTGATCAACTTCCGGTAACCTATCAATGTGACTTTTTTCCATTTTATACGGTTTCTTTTACAGCACTGATAACAGAATTTGGAATTCATTTAGTTGTTCAAGCATAAAACGAGATGAAAAGCCGTTTACAAGCACGTGCCTTTCAGGTTCAGCAAACTATCGCAGAAGGTCCATTAAATATTCTGGGGTAAAATAAATGTTCATATTTTAAAGACAAGAAAAATGTAATTTAATGCAGTGCTTCTTGTACATCCTGATACCCACTTTATATCAGATATCACTTAGGCAGTGGAAATAGCTGATTTTTGAAGAAAACAGACCTTAAACGCACCGATTTTGTCACGGCAAGAAGTTCACCGAAAGCACCTGACCCAGGTTACTGACAAATTAAAAGTAGTACTTCCGCATACTTCTGCGTAGTCTGTGCAATCATTCAGCAGTCTGAATCTGACAGATCTAAGCGGTCACGGGACACTTTTCTTGTGTTTGTATTTACATATAACCTAAAAGTAAAGCATAGCTTGAATATTTTGAAATAATAAGAGCTCAATGTATGTCAGGATACAGTAAATATCTCTCAAAACACTGAAAACTTCAATACCTCTTATATTGATTAATTTGATATCATTTAAAGAAATCGATCAATTTGATTCACTGAAAACTTACCAAAAAGTCAACCCCCTGATCGCGTAATTTGCACCCTGCTCACAACTTATAAAAAACAAATGTTTTCAGAAGAAAATGTTAACGTTAGTGCTGATACTTAGAGTAAAACTCACCGTCATGGCCTGAAATCTTCAATATGCTAAAGCCACTGATCTGTACAGCACTTTTTTGGCGCTTTCTATCCTCTCCCAAATCAAAATAAGCTATCGGTTTAGTCTAATGTTCCAGTTTTTATATAAAGTTCGGTGTGCTGGCGGTATTTAATTGTAGGCTGAATGAAAATCAATAAACAGGTGTTTTTAAAGGCCTTTTTTATCGTCCGCTACGTGATTCGAGATTATCTAGATTATACTGACCTCTACTGGTGATAGTGGAAATCGCTCCTGTCTTCAGACCATTTGAAATCTAAATAAAACGTCTAAATAAAACGTCAACGACAATCCAGTTTTTATATAAAGTTAGTTGTGTCGTCCATATTTATATGTAGGCTTAGTGATGAAAAACTGTACAAAAGCAGAGGTCCTTCTTGTTCTTATTGTCCGCTACGTGTTTCGAGATTATATAGATTTGACTGACCTCTACTGGTGATAGTGTAAATTGCATCTGTCTATAAACCAACTGAAATCTTAAAAAAGTTGATGTCAGCATATATTATGCATTTATATTATGTAATATCATATATAATATCATTGATCGTTTTTAAATAGTTTTTATTATTAGCCTATAATTAATTGATGTTATCAAATTTTCATCCATCTAAAAAGATTTTATTCATATAGGTAACTTTTTTATATACTTCAAATAAAGTAATTTAGAGCATTTTTTCAGATATTTACAACTATTCAGAGTATGTATATCTGCTTTATCTGCAAAAAGATTATAAATTAAACAATACCTCGCTATTTTTCACACATTAATTTTGTGTAGCGACGTTTAAATCATCAATGGAGAAGCAGTGAAGAATTTTATTTATCATTTATTATTATTATTATTATTATTATTATTATTATTATTCATTAATCTTTATTTATTAACAGTTGCCTAAATGCCAAGCATATAAATTACATTCAGAAAGATTAACATATACATAATTAAATATATATTAAATTAATTAATTCAACTAGGGAAAAAAATAATAAAACAAACAAACAAACCCAGGAATACACAATATAAACATAATATAAATGATACAAAAAAATCACAAAATTTTTATATAGATTTAATGTTTTAGCGCTGACTACGTTTGAGACAGTCACAGTACGCGTCATTCTACTTCCTGTTTAGAGTCTGGTGGTCTGGTTGGGTAAACATTATACAACGTGATGTGAACTGCAACGGGTTGCTTTACCTTAAACACTGCGAAATCAGGTAATATAAACGATTCTGCTTTCCATCGGTAAAAAAACAACCTGACAGGCATTGCCTGCATCTATATCACTGTATTAAATGTCATTACGGTTTTTAAATGTACGACTTTATTACACAAGTCAATGTCACGGGAGTGTTTGTTGTTTATGTGCGCTCATGACACAATGGATGTGAGTTACGCAATGAAAACAAGAGCTGTCGTTATTGAATTGTTGCAGTTGTTGTGTGGGGACATTCGAAAACACTTTACTTCAGCTTAACGTTACTTAATGTAGCTTAACAGCAAGCGGGGGAAACCATATTTCTATAAATTTTCACACACAAACAAGTGACAAACACTTATTTTAATGTCAATAAAATGAGCTCAATTTTATTAAGTGAAACTTATCACGTTATACGTTTCTCCCCATTATAAGTCCATTATAATAAAAGGAAAACGCTTAACATGGCTTAATGTACCTCAGTGGGGCACACCACAACACTACACTAACTACTATCAAAGGATCAAGCTCTGATTCTGTAGATGAAATGAACAATGTCACATTAATAATTTTATCCCCCATTTAAGTCCATTATAAGAGCTTAATGTGGTTTAACGTAACATCCAGAGATGATCAACTTTCTATAAAAATACACTCATAAACACTTACTGCTGTGAAAAGAACAAACTTTTATTTTAGTGTATCAAGTGAACATTATCACTTTAAGCATTCTCCAAGGTCCATTGTAAGAAAAAAGCTCGAGGTGGCTTAACGTACTTTTAACCCAGACCAGACAAGCATAAATATCTGTCAAACTTTACTTGTGATTACCTTAACTATTAATGAAAGAGCGGGCCTTAATTCCATAGATAAAGTGAACAATATCACAATAAGCGTTTTCTCCCCCATTCAAGTCCATAATAAGGAAAGGCGTAACTTTACAACAACTGAGGGAAACTAAATGTTAAAAAGGCTGTTCATCAAATTTTATTTATGATAGATTAACACTTGCTGTCAAAAGAATGTGCTTTTGCATGTCATTGACATCCCCACAACAGCCTAGGGAAAAACGCTTGACACAATATTGTTCACTTTAGCTGTGGAAACGGGGCTCGTTCTTTTGCTAGTAGTGTTAATCAGAGAAAACGCTTAACGTTATGTTTTTTACTTTATCTATGGAATTGATACTCCTCCTTTTTACAGTAGTTGGGGTTAATTACAAGTACAGTTTGACAGAAATTTGGGTTTCTCTGGTTGAAGTTTTGGTGCATTAAACCACGTTAAGCTTTTATTTCACGTTAAGTGTTTTAGAATGTCCTGTTGTGTGTGTTTTTTCTTATTTTCTTTATTTGTCAAGCAGAGAAGAGCCTGACAGAAATAACACAGACGCTGACGATGGCTGCAGATTCAGCAGTGTCCAATGGAGGAGAGAACATCCTCACTGACAGCGATGATGATATCCTGAAGTACTGTAATTACAGCTTTATTAGGAGAAACATTCACAGACCTAATAGAAACTAAACAGGCTTGCCAAGTTTACCAGTATCTGTTTTGAGCGTGCGTTTCTTATTGTGGTGAAGTTGGTTTTATATTTACACATTCAGACTTTCTCCTTAATAATTATAATGTAAGAAAAGTATTCTTTGCGATTTATACACAGGGAAATCATATTAGCCAATGACTATCAAAGTACAACATTGTTCACTGTCAAATATATAGTGCTAATGTTGTTTGAAGTCATAATTGCAAGTGATTTCAAATTGCATATTCAAAGTACCATGGTAAGCAATATAGGGAGCAGGTTACAAGTTGTCACTGAACAAATGTGCGCATATAAAACCGACTTTACCTTTACCAGTGCGTTTCTTAACATACTGAAAGTTAATGACAAAATGTCGTACATCAATTCTACATGTTACACAAGTAAAATTATGCAAACAAAACAACACACTAAGGATCCCACATTATCAGATATGCAAGTCTCTCCAAACACAGCAAACCTGCAAATAAATATCTACAGTGCTATTAGCTACTATTCAAAGAAAATATGAATATCTGATTGCGAATGCATCACTGTGCATTCACATCGAAGGCGGTGAGAGCATAAAAGTTCGCTCTGGCCGCAAAAGAACAAGAAGGCCGCACCGAACCACATCGAACAGTTGCTCATTACCATAAAGTTGACTTAATTTCAACTCTTCTCGACGCCCACATCAGTGAAGACGCGCCGCTCCTCACTGCTTATTGCTGCCATGTTCCATTGAAAATTATTGACTTCAGTCTACTTTGATACTCTCACCGCTTTCGGTGTGAACGCACTTATGCCAAACCATTGAGAGGGAAACCATGTTGAAACCACATGACCTACCAAATATACTACTACTACTATTATTATTATTATTATTATTATTATTATTATTAAGCCCCTAATTAAAAGTTGCTTTCGGCTGCGTCTAATGCATTAATCATTGTTCACATATATGACCAACAGTTGGATCATTGGGAATGCCACATGAAACTTAAGGCCCAACCCCAATTCTACCCCTTAGCCCTCCCCCTTACCCCTACCTCTCGTTTTGTGCATTCCCATAAAGGGGTAGGGGTGCCCCAATTCTCTTTAGCTTGAAGGCGTAGGGCTAAGGTGAAGGGCTAAACACCCCTTTGAACAGAGATTTTTCAGGACCACACTCGAAACCAAGGGGTAAGAAAATTTCCCAGAATACACCAGCCACAACAGCGGGATAGCTGCACCCGGAAGTCAGGAGATCCACAAATTATTATTTTTTTTTTGTCATTATTAAGAATTTTTACAATAAACAAGCACATGTTTTGATATATTCATAACCGCGTTTGTGTTTTACCGTCATGCTTTAAAAAAAAAAAATTAAATAAAAACTAATCTCTAATCCCTAATAATAACTCCTGTATAGGAGTCTCAAATCATTCTGACACTTGATAGCTCTGGAATACCCTGTCAGAAACGTCTAGTGGATGTTAATGTTGTTTTTATTGTGTTTACATAGATGAATAAGGCCACTGTGTAAATGCACAGTACAGTTACGATCTTATTGCCACATTAGATCGTTATGATAACTTAATATATGCCTTCAGTGATTTCCAGAAAAAAAAAACGCAACTGGAACAGCAGTCGCAATCATCTGATCTCATATGAAGCAAGAGATTGCGATGAAATGTGCAGGTGTTGTAGTGGTGTGCCATTTCTTAGGGGTAAATTTTAAAGCCCTTCCCCTTCAAACTCTGTTTCAATGAGAAGGGAAAGGGGTACAAAAATAAAATTAGGATTGGGCCTAGGTGTAATTAGTTTTTTTATGCACATGCTAGGATATACATACAGTGCTCAATGCAAATTGTGTCATCAGAATAGTAATGTTTGACCAATATAAATAGCAACAATTCAAAGCATGTGCATAATTTGTGCAGTTTGCTTTGAGTCATGTTTGCACTACTTAGTAAACTAGATGTCACAGAAAAAAACAACATAGGAGACGGAACAAAAACCGCAACAGCAAACTACTGAAGACTGCAAAAAATAAAATGGCTGCCAAGTGCATGGTTTTGAGAGAATAAAAGATGGATGTACAACATCATTAGCATTACCACACAGGACATGGTCCATGCCACTATTGAAAATTGCTTATTTGTTAGGATTTGAACGTTCTTCAAAGCATTTGGGATAATGCAAATACATAATTCAGCAAAATATATAACACTGCTGTGTGGTTTACATATTGTGTTCTTAAGACTCATACTTCAGCTATTGTTTGCTCCTACTTTGATACCAGTAGTGGAGGTAATATCTTTATAAATCTTCTGTTTTTAGTCCTAATGACCTGTCAGAAGTTTTGGCAGCAGGAACCAAAGAATCTCATGACAAAGCTGAGAATTCACCATTTGTCAAAGACTTCCTAAGGGGCCGAATTAAACGGGAACTTTTTAAGGTGAGTCTGTTGGTACTTTTGATGAATTACTTTTTTTTTGTTCAAAACTCCACTATTTTCTGACCTTTATACTTTTGCTATTTTGTCATTTTGTCAACCCCAGCTTGGCACCACTGCCCTGTACTATGTTTATTCTGCCATTGAGGAGGAGATTGAGAAGGTTAAGGACCACGCAGTGTTTGCCCCTCTATATTTCCCCTCTGAGCTTCACCGGCAAGAGGCCTTGGCCAAAGACCTGGCGTATTTCTATGGTGAAGACTGGGAGAGCCAGATCTCCTGCTCTGCTGCCACACAGCCCTATGTAGACCGCATACATGAGGTGGGTCGCGATGACCCGGTTCTTTTGGTGGCACACGCATGGACCCGTTACATGGGTGACCTATCAGGAGGGCAGATTTTAAAGAAAGTGGCTCAGCGGGCCCTAAAACTGCCCCCTACCGGTGAGGGCTTGAACTTCTACCATTTTGAGGGCATCCACAACCCCACAGCCTTCAAGAGGCTGTACCGCAGCCGGATGAACGAGCTGGAAGTGGATGCGGAGACCAAAGCCAAGCTGCTAGATGAAGCCAACCTGGCTTTTAAATTGAACTTGGACGTAAGAGGATATAATTTCCATTCACTGGTTGAGATAATCAGATGATTATTGTACTTTTACATCCTTTTATCTTCTGTCAGGTATTCACAGAGTTGCAGGAGATCGGGAAAGACATAGAAGAGGAAGTGCAGGACATTGGTCCCCATGCACATGGAGACATGGGTGGAGATATTAGTAAATGTCCATACTATGCTGCCAAAATGGGTAAGGACGTTGTTAGAAACAATATATATACATTGGAGATCAAAACTTGAGAACATTGGTTTCAGACACTTTAGATCGGCTCATCTTCTTGCTAAAGCCCCGGTCAGATCACACAAATTTGTCACGATTTTGGCTTGATTTCCTTGACATAGGATTTGTAAACAACAAATAGGCATTGTGACACAAGAATCAAATTGGCATAGTTCACAACAACCGATACCATGCCTGCGATGGTGTCGTTAGAAGTCTAGCATATTTGATTTTTCTCATTCTTCTCTACGAGTTCTGTCACGTGGGTGACACTGCAATAGGAGCACATCATTTTTCAGTTGTCTCAGCAGTTGCTGCCATTAATGCAGTTATAGTGGGTCATGGGTGGATAACCAATGATTGATCTTATGCAAACTTTAACTACTTTTTCTAAAATATAAAGGTGTTTTTCTTCTGACAGACTGACTTCATTCTCACAACGAGTTTCTGAGTTCTCACATCCTTCCAACAGAGTTTGTTCTTCTAAGGTAATCTGGGAACCTGTACAGTGCTGCGAATACATTGTAAAAGCCTGTCCTGTTATTCACTGTCATTAACAGTGAAAAGAGCTTAATATAGTCTTCTCTGTGACTATTTCACTTCAGTTTTATTTAGGCTAGATAATTATTTTTATAAACAAACCAACACAATCTCCTGGCAACTTTTGGTTCTGAAGCATATAGCGGACTTGTTTTGATGCACTTCACTTCAAAGGTTATTTATTGTTCTTGATTATAAGTATCTGACCAACAAAAGATACATTAAAATTAAGATAAATATTATAGCAAACAAAATTCATTTCAAAAAAATTTTTTTCCAAGAAAAATATATTAGTTATATTTTTGTTTGTGCCCCTCCACTACTCAGTTGTGCGGTGATGATTTATTCCGCTTTGTAGAAATTAAGGATATAATTAATGCTTAACAGCTGCTGAGGTGTTTTCAATTTCTCCGTCTTACTCGTGGCATGTTCAGGCAAGAGTAAGCAAAATTGGCAGCAAAATATACATTTAGATTTAAAACATCTTAAAATAAAAAGAAATCATAAGTTTGATCCTATCCATGTCATAAGGAATGCCCTTAAATAATGTAGCCTAGTTGTCAGCAAGCATCAGTGTTTACTGAGATTGAAATAAGAAAATTGAAATGAATGAAATTGAGACGAGAAATATTGTTATAGCAACACTTGTGACTGCTTTTTGGATATAACACTCATCGCAGACATCATAGTATGACTGATCGTGAAAGAACGTATAGTCTGGCACATTTGTTACCCATGACAAATCAAGATTTTACTGAGACAATATTGCATGGTGTAACAGTGATTTTCGTAACCAACAATAAAAATTGTGTGATCTGACCTGGGTTTAAGTCAGTGAAAACTGTTACACTAAATGTCAGATTAAAGGGAATGTTCACTCAGAAATTAAAAATGTCACCATTTACTCATTTTTTTAGTGAACTATGCGTTTCATGCTTATAACTGCTTTATAATTTTCTTCTGAATATATGCAGTTCATAAAATCTGCTTTAAATCTGCACTTTTAACTCATGTAAAGGGAACATCAAATAGTAGTAGAGCCGATCGGAGTAGAGCCGATGCTCCTCCACAGAGAAGCAAGCTGAGGTGGCTCGGGTATCTGTTTCAAATGCCTCCTGGACGCCTACCTAGGGAGGTGTTCCAGGCATGTCCCACAGGGAGGACGTCTTGGGGAAGACCCAGGAAACGCTGTCTTTTGGCTGGCCTGGGAACGCCTCTGGAGTAAAGCCGATGCTCCTCCACATTGAGAGAATCCAGCTGAGGTGGCTCGGGTATCTGTTTCAAATACCTCCTATACCAAATGCCCAAAATGCCAAAATGTGACTAATTAAACTTTAGGTCGCTAACCAATTTTCAGTTTTGATCACAATGTTTGGATATTTCTATTTCTGAATATACAGTTCTATATTTTGTTTGTATCACTGTTTCTCTTTTTTCTTGCCTAGCGGTCAGTGGAAACACAACCTACGCATGTAATTTCGCCAAGACGGTGCTTCGACAATCAACAGTACAGGTGATTCTGGCCACATTGGTTGCTGCTGTTGCCGGATTGGCTGCCTGGTACCTCATGTGATCATCTTTACACTAATTAAAAAAACAGGAATTCCATAACCATATAAAGCATAGGTCTCAAACTCAATTTCTGGAGGGCCGCAGCTCTGCACAGTTTTGCTCCAAACACAGCTGATCCAACTAATCAAGGTGTCCAAGACTACTAGACACACTGTGTTTGATTAGGTTTAGAGCAAAACTTTGCAGAGCTGCGGCCCTATAGGTCTCTTGTTTGAGACCTATGATTTAAAGATTTAGACAAAACCTGGAGTCTATTTGTATAAAATATAATGCAAGTTTTAGCCTTATTGAGGGAATGTGACCTTCTTTATTCTGTTTTCACTCTCAGTCAAGAGTGTAAGCATACTTTTAAGGGCATGCAAGATGACAATGGAGCTGCTTGATCTGCTTAATGCAAGTCTGTATCGTTAACCTATTTTGGTTGGTTTTGCACATTGTAATACATAAAAAATGTGTTATATACATCACTGTGGTGCAGTGAATGATTAAAAAGATTCTGTCCATGCAGATTTCTGTGGCATTTAATGTAGAATAAAGAGATCAACGCTAATGGTGTAGTGGTTAGTGCATCGACATATGCACTCCGGTGCTCACGGTGATCCGAGTTCGATTCCGGCCTCGAGGTCTCTCTGCTCCCCACGCTTACCTGTGAATACTCCTGAAAACCGCAAAATGAAATTATAATACAATAAAGAGTTTTTATAGGACACTAAAGGATAGTTCAGCCAAAACTGAAAGATATATGTCATCATGTATTCCAGTGGTGCCTGCAGCCGTATGGCTATACACACTATGCGTACCTACCATTATAGGGTGCAAATAAATGCAGTTTTTTAATTTTTATTTTTTTACATAATTTTAATTGATTATTAAACAGTGTATACTACGATATATTGACAAAGCAAGAAAGAATTAGAGGAAATAAAGATGTACAATTGTGTGTTTTAAGGTGTGTGTACTTGCATGGTGGGAGATGGGCATTGAAATCTATTGGCATTAGTTTTGCTGGGGGGTTTTCCGCACACTAAAAATTACAATTCAGATAGCTATTGTTCAAAACAAGGTTCAGAATAAGTAAACTCTTTTTAAAACAGCTAAACTTAATTGAGACATTTGCCAAAAAACCTAATACTAATGAGACAAATTTTGCTTTCCCACACAATACCGCAATCTCATCAGCACCTGAGCCGGCGGAACTCAATACCCACATCCAAACAAAAACAAATCAAAAACATCCAAAATTACTATTATTTGTACAGTATACACTTTAAATCACCTAAGATTTTTACAATTCTTTTTGAAATAGAAGAGTCAATAATGTCCAAAGCACCAATAAGCAGTGCATTTCTATGTCTTAATGTAGACTTCTTACAAAGTATTTTGCTGTATTTTAAAAACATAAAAATACAAGACATTAAAGTATTTTGACACAAAAAATTAAATCATTTTCATCAGCCCTATCAAATAAAAATAACAAAGTACTATTTTGCATTTAAAACACATATTTTATATAAACATACAGTTGAAGTCAGAATTATTAGCCCTTGTTTATTTTTCCCCAATTTCTGTATAACAAATATTTTTTCAATACATTTCTACACATAATAGTTGTAATAACTCATGTATCTTAAATACTGCCCATCCCTGTCTAGGCTTACAAACAGTTGGTTGTTTTGAACTAAAAAACTAAAACCCAAAAATACAGAAAAAAATCCAGGACAAGAATGATTATTTCAGAGACATTTGGTCATTTCTGTCAATTTAAAGGTCATTTCCATAACTGGAAAACAACCTTCTAATTTTCCAGGACCCGTAGGAACACTTTTTTTCCAATAGTGTCAGATTATCCTATCCTAAAAAGTCCATAATGCATCATCCTTGCTGCAATATTTCATTATTTTAATAGGGATGTAACGGATCCCGGTTGATTCATGATTTGTAAGGATCACAACCCATGGTTTGGAACTCACATGACCCATGGATAATTACTTTTTTATTAGTAGATTAATGCTAAATTTGTAACGATTGCAGAGAGATCGCTTTCTTAAGTCATTAAAATCACATGTATGAAAGCATTTAGGCTTTGCTATAAAATATAATGATGATGGAAGAAGTTGTGGTAGGTTATTCAGGATGTGGTGGGTTTCTTAGGTTATTAAAGGTGTTTTCTGTCTCTTCTTGTTTAACCTGCATTGATGCATTCAGTGTAAGCTACACAATTAATTATTAAAAAGATCAGGATCTCAACACCCACGCAACATAAATTATAAATGATGGTGATTTGCATATGTTTATCTATCTTACCAATTGCTGCATTCAAATCTGACAACACAAAAATCAAGAAAGAGATTGAGTCTTTGGTCTTTTGAGTTAGTTATGGAGTTACAATCAATCAAATAACACAGAAGTACTGGGATAACAGTTTATAGTTTAGAATAAACCACTGATGTTTATGGTAAAAATTAAAATTAACGTCATATACATTTAACTTGACGCTCAAAAATAAAGGTTGTAAGCAGTAATTACATTATTTAACCAATAGGTTGAATTCAACCAGCCATCAAAAATATGCCACTGAATAATAATAAAAAATGATCCATCTAGCAATGAAACATGAAGTTTTATGAGTAAATAACAAGCATTTATTGAAAACGAGACTAAAAATAAATATGGGTTGTACAAATTATAATGTTAGATTTCTACATTTAGTGTCATCAGCAACAGTAGCAGAAATTGTGAATCTTTCCACAGTACTGAATATTTTACCATTTATTTATATTTAGCTAATTATTTCTTCATTTTTTTTTTTTATAAATATAAGGGTTCTTACTTTTGTTTTTTTGAAACCAAATGTTTCTTGCAGTGCAGTTTTTGTAATAAAATGGAAAAGAAATGACATTTGTCTCCTCCCCTTTTTGGCTAGTCCGATCTGTGACTAAAAAAAACATTATATGATCCAAACCGTAAGATTTGTGATCTGTTACATCACTAATTATTAATAAAATGCACAAAACAAAAGCTACATATACTTAACTTTACCATAAGATCTTTAATTTCTCACTTTGGGAAAGTTTCATATGACATGACATACAAAACTACACAAATTCATGACAAACTCCCAAAAACCTTCCCAAATGCGTGTCTATCCACCACTCGTCCCAGTCTGGTAGAAAAGTACATGGTATTAGAAGTGCTGTAGCGCTTTAACCGAAGAATTGATTCTCCCCTGGAGTCTCCTGAATCTCCCAGAGTCACAACATCTGAGACGGGTACATAAATGTCTCTTCTGTGACCCCAAAAGCTAAGATGTGACACCTTTAATATGGTCTGTGTTGAATCCAAATACATCATGCCAACCACTCTTCTGACAAAGTGGCTTATGGAGTACAGCATGACTCCAGCAAACAAGGCAATGCCTATTGAGCGATTTAAGACCAACACTGATGCCTGGCCCTGCAGGTGGAGGTAATACACAGTGGGCAGCAGGACAACAGTGATGCCCGTCTGTAAGAGTTTGAGTCTTGAAAGAGCCCGCAGGCCCCTGATTAGTGGAAATGCATAGATTAGACTGTATTTTCTTGAGGCAAGGTCAGAGGAGAATGAGGCCGGGTGAATCCGCGTGGTGTGTGTGGATGTGTTGGGCATCTGTTTACCCATGTGTGCCAGGCCGTTGTTGATGTTGTATTGCATGCGAGCACTTGAAATAAGTCCTGAAGGATGGCATCGAAAGCCATATTGAGGGAAATGACGGGAAAGGTGGATTAATCTTGTTGACATCATCATCTGAGGAGACAGTAAGCATCACAACAGTAGTTATTATTAATGTTAATTATTAAAACAACACAAAATATTTTGATAATGTAACCATCATGACTATTGACTATTTGACCTTGTTTATTATGTTGATAAAAACAGTGCTTGACAAAGGCAGTTGTTGTGTTGGCTCAGATTATGCGTTCCAGCTTCTTATATGCGATAATCATAGAAAATACATAAGCATAATTAAATAACGCGCATTATTATTAAATATTATTTCAGTTTTGAATGAACTCACCATGTCCATACAAGTTCAGTGCATCGCGCACTTCTTCTGTGAAGCTGGACATGAGTTATATTATGTATCGTTTCAAAATAAAAGTCCTTAAATCAACGCTTGTCAAAATCGTTTTTGAAACAAGTTGTTAAAAATATTTTAGAGACATGGAATCTACGTGCACTTTTTGTGAATTAGAGAAGGAATCGATAAAACACCTGTTTGTTGAATGCACATATACCCAAATATTTTGGTTTGATGTTGAACATTTTATATTTAAACTTACTAAATTAAAAATTCAGTTTTCTTGTAAAAATATTTTTTGATATTCAATAATAACAACTAAACCTTGGAGCAAAATTTGTTTATTAATTTAATGATAATATATGGGAAGTACCATGTACACAAACAAAACTGATCCAATGATAAGCCTAATATTTATTTGTTTAAAACTTATCTTATGCATATTGAAACCCTACAAGACATAACAAATAAAAAAGCTATAAGAATGTGTGCAATTCTGAAATAATTTTTCTTATGCAATTTTTTGTAATTTATATATCCCTTATATATTTATATATACATATATCCCGTAATTTTATTTATTTTTTATTATTATTATTTACTGATTTGTTCCTTTGATGTGAAAAAGTAAGCATTTTATTTCTCATTTTGCATGACATTTTCCTTGTTATTAATTATTCGGTGTCATTAATATTTAATTAAAGTGAAAATAAAAACAATTAATAAGCATTTATATATTATTATTCGACACGTTATTTCTAATTTTGGCAAAAATTTTAGCATTAAAAAACAATTGATTGTTTCAGTACCATAAAAGTGTCGTGGGTAACATCAAGGGTGCGAATTACAGGGGGGTTGGAGGGTGGGGGGATTGACCCCTCATTAACACTTCTTTGTCCCCCCTGAAGGACATTAAAACAAGATGAATAGGGGGGGTCAGCTCTTTAATAGCTCTTTAATTAAATATTGAAAATAAAAAATTTATAACATAATAAATATACCCTTATAATGGTTCATACCATGTGTGAAAATATAATCGCCCCAATCAATACTAAGAAAAAATATCATTCAACAACAGTCTGAAACTGGCACCGATAGACATCTCAAGTTTTCACAAAACACTTCTTGTAAAATAGTTGTATTTTGACCTTCAGCAACTTCTAAAAAATCACTAAATATCAATACACTGAAAGCGTATACATTTTAATAATAAATGAGGTGTAATTTTAGTACATTAATACATTTGATTCACTGAAGAATGTATTACCAAACTACTATCAAAAAAGTTGACCCATTCGTTCGTCAATGTATAATTCGCACGCTGGTAACATCAATGTTTAAAGTAATTTGTTAAAAAAAAATACCGATAAATTAATTTTAAAATCTAAATTTGAGCACAACTACCCTAAGCGATGTGAAGCTGGACTTGATAGAAAGTCTAGCATACTCCAAAATAAAAGTACTTCCGTTGCCATGACTAAAATTCAGTTAAATAAACACATCAAATGATAAATATTTCCCGCAATTGAAACCGGTAATAATGATTCTATTTTTAGTTTTTATCTCATTTCATAATTGTTTTTAATAAATCGGACAGTTTTTTCGCTCAAAAGTCCTTCATGGAGTCGCAGGACTTTCATTTTTGTTACATTGCAGAAAGTGTCCATCAAAGCATCGCGTCTAATACTTGTATTTTATATTGTACTTTAATTGTTCCTCAAGTAGACAAAATAAGTTATTCGCATGGTATGACACTGTGTGGGATATATTTAATTAACACTCTCAATTGTGATGAAGTCAGCAAGTCGATCGGGTCACGGGAGCAATTTCGCAATGTGTTCGTTATGTCATTAATACACTTTAATGGCAGTTCATTCATGCAAGCGATATGTTGACAGACAGACGTGTGGCAATGAATGAGCCAAGACCGAACACGACAGTTTGAGGACACTCGCAATGCGGATTTCATCTGACAGCTTCGAGAGCAGCGCAGATCCTGCGTGTTGACTGATTTGTTGCAGAAATAGCTCTTGTTTTGGGTTTGTAGGATCATTTCCTCATCATGCTTCAGTTGGGAGATGGACTCGTACTGTTTTCTACTGTTTTCGTCGTGGTTCTGGTGGGAACTAGGAGCGCTGTGTGGCCCACGGTGCTCGCGGCCTCTCTCTACCTGTTTCTGGTGATGTTTCGGTTCCCTCAGGTTCCCTCCAGCCGGACCAGACAGGTGCTGCAGCCCGGCTCCAGAGTGCCTGCGGGCGGCGTGTCGGCGGTGGCTCACCGCGGTGGAGGACACGACGCCCCAGAGAACACTATAGCTGCTATAAGAGCGGTGAGCACATCAGTGTGTTTCTGATTAATATTAATGCATATAATGCATTTACAGACAATACATGACGCTAATATGCCAAACAAAAAAGTGTCACATAATTTAATGACAGAGGTGGAGAGATATTTTGTATTGAGTGTATTTAGTCCAAATTGGTACAGTTGTTAAACCCTTGCATATATGGGTCTAAGCAGGGCAGGGGTGCCCAAACTTTTTCTTATGAAGGGACAAAAACCAAACTTGATTGAGGCTAGTGGGTCGAAGAAGGTAAATAAAGATGAGGTCATTTAAAATGGGTAATTTGCTAATTTATCTAATAGTTTAAAAATGGCTATAAAACATATCTTTGTATTATTACAAATTATTATTACATATATTATTACAGTATATTTTTACATTTTAAAATAAATATATTATAGTAAAAACAAAATCTAATGTATAACAAAATTACACTAGTTTTTGTCTTGCCGATGTGTTCTGCATAGTCTTCTATCCATCAAGTGACAGCATTTCCATTTTATAAAATCAGATTCATTTACAACATTCAATTGAAACATTTAATTTTAGTTTGCTTTTTTTGTCGCTCAGCAGTAAAACAAATAAAAAAGATTACACCAAATTACATGCGAGTGTAGTTAACTCAGAATTGACTGAAAGTTAATTCTACTCATTTGAAAAGAGTTTTGAACTCAGTTTTGAAGGCAACGAGTCAATTAAAAACCTCACAGAACTCATTAGGATTAGTTTTTGAACCATAATGGTTTGTTGCAATAGGTTTCTTCAAATGGTTTGAGGTACCTTAACTTTTTGGGTTTCACAGTGTAGAAATGACAATCTCTATGTTAAAGGCATTCGCCCTAACTATTTCGATCATACTCTCCTCTCAGATGGGATGGTGGGCCAAATAAAAAGTTACAATGGGCCAGCTATAGTTCCACGGGCCCTACTTTGAGAATCTCTGGTCTAAAGGAAAGCGACTGACTTCTGACTTTCAATATCTTTGCAATAAGTTAATTTCTTTTCTTGGTATTCCAGGAATTTCTTAATTAACTCGTTTTTGACCATTACAAATTGTTATTTATTTCTTACATTTAAAAATATATGTATTTATTTATTGTTGGTATATTACGAAATATGTACTTAAGGGAATGTTTAATAATAAACTCATATCAAAACATACAAACATAAAAATTCCCAGCCATGCATGACATTATATAAGAAATGTATGTGGATAATTTTAGACTCATGTTGTGCATTAGAAGTGCTTTTACATACAGGTAGCATGTGCATTAAAGGGCAAAGGTATAGTTGACGTAAATAACTATTCCTGCCACAGAAAGAAAAAATATGTAAAGGTGTAAACTCAGAAGAATGCCTATAAACGGATAAGCTTATAAAAGTCACCTGAAATAAAGTCACAATCCTGGGGGGCAAAAAGTCAGAGCTGAGATTATGAGCTTGAGTAACAATGTTGTAATGTAAACTAGTTTAAATACATTTTTAATTTTATACAGACTCAGTTTTAAACTCAACTTTTACAATATCCTAATCTAAACATTGTCGGAGTTTCTCTGTTTACTCGACTTAAAAATGCTTTCTCTGTGGATTATCACCTAGCCTAGGGGTGTCAAACTCAATTCCTGGAGGGCTGAAGCCCTGCACAGTTTAGTTCCAACCCTGCTCCAACACACTTACCTGTAGGTTTCAAACAAGCCTGAAGGACTCAATTAGTTTGATCAGGTGTGTTTAATTAGGGTTGGAACTAAACTGTGCAGAGCTGCGGCCCTTTTGGAACTGAGTTTGACACCTGTGACCTAGCCAATCAGATAAATCAAATATTCATCTTTCATTCATTAATTTTTTTTGTGTACGTAATACATGAGCCATCACATGCCCTTAAACCTTAAAAGAACACTACTCGTATTAAACATTACGAAAGCATTGGGTTAACCATAGTTTCAAGACGCAGTACTTCACACCAAGCACTCTTCCTCTCGTAATAACGCTTATTTCTAAACGAAAGGCGAGTGAGAATGGAGCCACGGGTGTGGAGCTGGACCTGGAGTTCACGGCTGATGGGGTTCCTATACTGATGCACGATGAAACCGTGGACCGAACCACAAACGGCTCAGGATCCCTGAACAAGCTGCTCTTCTCTGAACTGCGCAAACTCGACGCAGCCGCCAAACACAGATTCAGGTCAGAACTGAAGGCAGTCTTGTTTCATAAAACGAGCATGACCAGGTTAAAGACAGCAGGTGGTATGTTTGTGTTTGTTGTGGAATAGCGACCGTTTCCGAGGCGAGAAGGTCCCGACGCTGCAGGAGGCTGTAGAGGAATGCATTAAGCACCAGTTGACCATCTATTTTGACGTCAAAGGTCATCCAGATGAGGTACTGTCACAACTATCTTTGCTCTGCACTTTGCATCCACAGATATCTTTACCAATGAAAGCCTGTTAGATTAATGATTCTTGCATCAGCAGACCAGAATGATAATCTAGTCATGCATGTTATCTGTTTTCTTTTATAGGCAGCTGCAGCTCTAAAAGAGTTATTTCGGAAGTATCCAGTGCTCTACAACACAAGCATCGTCTGCTCATTTGAGCCCAAAGTCATCTATAGGGTAACACATTTATGTAATTAATTTCTTGTCATGCTGTGTTCAGATTACACATATTTCAGTGTGGAAATTGTGTGATTTGGATTCATAGATTTTTAGAGCATTTCAGATTACGTGTTAGTTCCTGATCATTGCTTGTTCTTTAAAAAAAAGATAGTTGTGATGGTTTTTGGTCATTCTTTGTTATAAAGAACCAAAGAAATGTAAACTTGGGATACATACAAATTTCTGCTGTCAAAATATATCGTCCGAAAGTTGCCTTTTCCAATTGTCAGGCATAAGAAAAAAAAAAGCTGAAAATATAAGATGAGAAAATGTGTATATATATATATATATATATATATATATATATATATATATATATATATATATATATATATATATATATATAGTTAAAGTCAGAATTATTAGCCCCCTTTGAATTTTTTTCTTCTTTTTAAAATAGTTTCCAATGATGTTTAACAAAGCAAGGAAATTTTCACAATATGTCTGATAATACTTTTTCCTCTAAAGAAAGTCTTATTTGTTTTATTTTGGCTAGAATAAAAGCAGCTTTTAATATTTTAAACACGATTTTAGGGACAAAATTATTAGCTGCTTTAAGCTATATTTTTTCTCGACTGTCTACAGAACAAACCACTGTTGTACAATAACCTGCCTAGTTAACCTAATTAACCTAGTTAAGCCTTTAAATGTCACTTTAAGCTTAATAGAAGTGTCTTGAACAATATCTAGTCAAATATTATTTACTGTCATTATGGTAAAGATAAAATAAATCAGTTATTAAAAATTAGTTGTTAAAACTTATGTTAAGAAATGTGTTGCGAAAATCCCTCTGTTTAACATAAATTGGGGGGAAAAAATAAACAATCGGTCTAATAATTTAAGGGGGGCTAATAATTCTGATCTCAACTGTATATATAGTCTTCAGCCCACTGATTTCACTCTCCCTCCAGCCTCCAGATCAGATGTGGAAAGTACTGGGCTATAAAACCCATTTATTTCAATGGCTTGTGCCACAAGTGTGCTTTCTTGCTGTGCAAACCAAAGCGCAAAAGGAGCTGCAAGCACTGTCGACTTAATTATGGACATTAAAGGCACCTATGATGAAAATCATCTTTTGAAAGCTGTTTGGACAGAACTTTTTGCAAGTATAGTGTGTCCACAATCATATTGGGGTGATGTAAACACAATAAGTCTCTTGTTTTACATTTTCTGACATTAAAATGGGATCCAAATCCCTCCCATTTTGAGGCCGACCGCAACGTGACATAGGAGTGCTGTTTCCCCGCCCACTGAATTGATTGACAGCCGCGTATTAACATGTCTCTGTAGTAACACATATAATCATATCAACAAGACAGGATGTTTGCAAAGCAACTGGGATAAAAAGATCTGTTCAGCTGTCTGTGATCATCAATCATCATCAAATATTATCAAGAGTGAGTTTTACAAGTTTAAAACCTTTTGAAAAGCATGTTTGTAATAAAGACGTGTGCTAGTACAATTATAAAAGAAGAGGCTTCAAGCCCGGTTTGTGGACGTTTAATCAGGTTTATTTTGTACATAAACATAACAGATATCCATACAGCAGTGGATATAATCCTATAGAGTCAAACTAGGGCCATATGTACTAGCAAAAAAAAGAAAGTTTTGCAAACAAAAATAAAGTATTAAGCAAAAATAAATAAATAAATGCAAATCTCCAAAAATCGCAAAGCAAAAATTAAAAAGAAAAGAATTATTAGCCCCCCTGTTTATTTTTTCCACAATTTCTGTTTAACAGAGAGAAGATTTTTTTCAGCACATTTCTGAACATAATAGTTTTAATAACTCATTTCTAATAACTGATTTGCAATGATGACAGTGAATATTATTTGACTAGATATTTTTCAAGACACTTCTATACAGCTTTAGGTGACATTTAAAGGCTTAACTAGGTTAATTAGGTTAACTAGGCAGGTTACGGTAATTAGGCAAGTTATTGTATAACGACAGTTTGTTCTATAGACTATTCTGTAGACAGAAAAATACATAGCTTAAAGGGGCTACAAATTTTGTCCTTAAAATGTTGATTAAAAAATTTATAACGGCTTTAATTTTAGCCGAAAAGAAACAAATAAGACTTTCTCTAGCAGAAAAAATATTATCAGACATACTGAAAATGTCCTTGCTCTGTTGAACATCATTTGGGAAATATTTGAAAAAGAAAAAAAATTCAAAGGGCAGCTAATAATTCGGACTTCCAACTGTGTGTATATATATATTTGCAAAACATTTTTTTCAGCATTGCCTTAACAAAACCCGTCCAGTCAATTGCAATGCTCATTTTGATTTGCTCTTTAGTCAACGTGAGTTTGCGATGCAGTTTTCACTTTGCACTTCATTTACGGCAGGCCCGGACCTACCTCCATTAAAGCGACGTCAATACTTGGACACAGTATCACCGAGGTGGTCTTACAGCCCTGTAGGTCTGGGCCAAGTTGCCTTGTAACGTCTGGTTTTGTAAAGGCTTTAAAAATGTTTTGCAAATATATAGCTTTTTTATTGCACTTGTTGTTTTTTGCACTGCTTGATTTTTATTTGCAGTTTTTTTTTTGTTTTTTTTTTTGCAAATTAAATTTTTATTTCTCAAAACCTTATTTTCCCTCTAAAGATCTTTTTTGTTAGCAAAATTAATTTTTATTTCTCAAAAATAATTTTTCGCTTGGTGATTTTTGGAGATTTGCATTTATTTATTTTTTTGGTCAATAATTTTTTTTGTTTGCAAAACTTTCTTTAATTTTGCAAGTATATATGGCCCCAGATTGACTCCATAGTATAGTCACATTTGCGTGCAAAAACAGTGCAAAGTTAAACATGCGTGCTGTGTGTGTGCTTGAATTTTTGTAACAACATTGTGTGTCACTCATCGTTAGTAATTGGCGTGTCAATTAGAGTGTCAAAATTCGCTACATTGAATTTAAAGGGGTCGTTGCAGCATATCAGTTACATTCCTGCATAAAACGTGATTTCTAGCATGAAAATGATGCTCACTTCTTATCAAACTCATTTAACAATGGGAGATCAAGTTGCATGTGGGGTGGTTTTGCTCCACTTAATTATCCAATGTGTCCATATGTCTGAAATATCCTGAAGCACCAATACTGTTTTGTATTGTCACATAAGATGCACACATTTTTAAAGATAAATATATATAACATTTATTCACATCAGTAACTCGCCAGTAACTTATTTAATGCATGTTCCTGTGAGAAAACATTGTAAATAATTAAAAATCCGGCGACCGCAACAATCAAACCCTTGGGAACAATTGTGGTCGGAACCAAAGTTCACAGGTCTGTGTTCCCTGAACTCCTCTCAAGCTGTGGACTTCATTCTGATTGCTTGACGCCGAACCGTGTCATAGATCATTACCATAAAGTTGACTTGATTTCAACTTTCCTTGACGCCCACACCGGCGAAGACGCGTCGCGCTGCTCCTCGCCACTTATCGCCGCTGGCTCTCATTGAAAATAAATTACTTTTGGCTACTTTGACGCTCTCACCACTTTCGGTGTGCGTACAGTTACTGTAGTATTTCTCACTGATGTTACGTGAGATCTGCTTCCTTTGTGTCTGTCACTATGCTGTTTATCTATTGAGTTATACTGAAAAGGTCTGACAAAAATACATAACTTAGTAAAATAATAAATAATTATTACAAAGCATTTTTGCATCCCTAATGAAAACATTTGTCTATCTGTCAGTGCATTATCAGGCAACCCAGACGTCACATCACAACACCTTGTGTCATTGTTATGTTCAACACATTTTATGTTTCCATTTTCACTTCAGATGTTATTTTATCTCTAATTTGAGCATAAGTGCCCTGCGTAGTAAACTCCACAGAACATTCTGCCATGACTCCAGCTGGAAGGGAGTCTAAATGATTCATTAGAATGGCATGAATGGCATTAGAATGGCATAGGTGTGATATGTGAATTTAAAATTGTGTTTATTTACAGAGGGTATATCATGTCACACCTCTTGAGTATGTGTTAACTTTGTGTGAAGATGTGGCGTTTATGAAAATGGTGTAAATCCATGAATGAACTCTTCGAAGTGAAGTAAAGGTTTCCTGTGGTCAGGAAGTTGGGAACACTGTGTAGGGAACATGACCATGATTTAACCCTTTTTCTAATTAGCTGGTTATGTAAATCAGTGTGTTAAATAAGTGAGATGTGCAAAACTCTATGCAGAGCAGGTGCAACAACCCATTGAGATGACCACTGCCCTGCATCAAACAAGACCAACTAATGATGATGATGATGATGATGATGAAGCCTTTATTTGTCACATATACTTTCATGCAGTGAAATTGGACCCCCTTTGACCATGCAGGTCGATGAAAGATAGCTTTTAGAAAGAGGAAATGAGATACATTTCGGGAAGAGAGAGGCAATAAAAAAACACCCTCTCACACTGTCCTTGAATTAGGGCAGTGTGAGTACAGGGGGGAAATGCCCCAGCAATCAAGCACATAAACACATAGACATAACATTGCAACGGGATGTGAATATAGTCCAATGAGGGCGGCAGCCATATGGTCCACCAGCTAAAAAGCGCTGCTCGCAGTCCCGCCTACCCACTCCAGTGGGTGAAAGTGATTGTCTATCTGTAGCTGTGTATGTGTGTGTGTAAGCCTGTAGATTTTAGATAATATTGTAAATTAGTGACATATTGTATGCAGTAATAAAACTGTAATATTAGGTTCATATCATGTAGTCTGAACCAGGAATGCTTTTTTTAAAAACAATAATACAGATAATATGAAAATGATCTGCTCACCTCCTCTTCAGATGCGGCAGGCGGATCCGAATGTGGTGACCGCACTGACCCATCGTCCGTGGAGTCTCAGCCGTTTTGGCGACGGGACGCCACGCTTCTCTTCCACATGGAAACAACACTGGATGCAGGTGTTGGACGTGCTCCTGGACTGGGCTCATCATCACCTGCTGTGGAACTTGTGTGGAGTCTCTGCCTTCCTGGTGCAGAAGAACTTCATCTCGCCGTGAGTCATTTTAACATTATAATTGTCATGTCATTATGTAAATTACATTCCTGTAAGAGCTTTAACACTCCTACCACAAGTCCTAAAATAAACTGTGCATTAAATAAATTGTCTAAATATAATCGCTGAAAAAGGAGTTATACTGACCACTGGATAGTTGTTTTAGTAGAGACTAAAGCACTGACTAAAGCACTGACCACTGCAACACTTCTAGTCTCACAGTTCATTATTAAAGCCTACTAGTGGAACTAGGGGTTGCTAGTTTGCCAGAAATTACATTTTTGTTCATACTTGGGGTTAGAAAGTCAGTTGAATTAACGAGTTATGGAAAATGACATCCCTGATGTAAATAAACTGTCATGTCACATAGATACTGTCACACAGTCTGCATGATATCAAGATGTTTATTTGGCTAGCACACATTGTTAGTCTTAAAGTATGTGTGAACTGGAAGTCGCTGGAAATTTTATTTCAGTATGTTGATGTGCCTCTGACTGAAATTGAAAACTGAGTAGGGGTCGGAGCTTTCTTTTAGCACATAATGTAGCAAACAAACGGTAGAGGGGCGTGGTTACCAATATTGTTGCTGAAACCATCAAACTAGCGTCTACAGAAAAGGAGTCCAAAAACAGAAGAAAATGATCTGAATTTTTTCTTATTGTATATTGAAGACACTGGTTTGAAGTATATATGGAAATTGTGCACTAATATTTTTTGCCCAACCTTGGTGATCAGCAAAGAAAAATAAAATGGAAAAGTGAAATACGGGACAAAATATGACTTTTCTTAACAAGTCAGGATAATAGAAATAGATCTGACATGATGTCTGGTCACCCTAAATCTAGTTATTTGGGTATGATTACATAATTTTGGTGCTGGAGCTGTGTGATTTTGTTAATTTTAAAATGTTAAAGGGCTGCAGCAATTACTGTCTAAGTACAAACATCAAAAAAATATAAAAAATAGAGTTGAAGTAAGAATTAATAGCCCCCCTGTTTATTTTTTTCCCCAATTTCTGTTTAACAGAGAGAACACATTTCTAAACACAATAGTTTTAATAACTTATTTCAAATAACTGATTTATTTTATTTTTGTTATGATGACAGTAAATAATATTTGACTAGTTATTTTTAGGACATTTCTATACAGCTTAAAGTGACATTTAAAGGCTTAATTAGGGTAACTGGGCAGGTTACGGTAATTGGATAAGTTATTGTATAATGATGGTTTGTTCGGTAGACTATCAGAAAATATAGCTTAACGGGGCTAATCATTTAGTACGGAAGCGTAGAGCTGCCACCCAGGTAAAAAAAAAAATCTGAGCTTTATCACGTTTGTACAATATACTTTTCACGTTCTTACAATATAATATCACGTTTGTACAATATAGTTTCACGTTCTTACAATATAATATCACGTTTGTACAATATAGTTTCACGTTCTTACAATATAATATCATGTTTGTACAATATAATATCACGTTTGTACAATATAATATCACGTTTGTACAATGTAATATTACGTTTGTACAATATACTTTTCACGTTCTTACAATATAATATCACGTTTGTACAATATAATATCACGTTTGTACAATATAATATCACGTTTGTACAATATACAATCCCGTTTGTACAATATACTTTTCACGTTTTTACAATATAATATCACGTTTGTACAATATAGTTTTCACGTTCTTACAATATAAAATCACGTTTGTACAATATACTATTCACGTTCTTACAATATAATATCACGCTTGTACAATATAATTATCACGTTCTTACAATATAATATCATGTTTGTACAATATAATTATCACGTTATTTGCCGCCATACGTGCGCACAGATGATGATATAATATCACGTTTGTACAATATAGTTTCACGTTCTTACAATATAATATCACGTTTGTACAATATAATATCACGTTTGTACAATATACTTTTCACGTTCTTACAATATAATATCACGTTTGTACAATATAATATCACGTTTGTACAATATAATATTACGTTTGTACAATATAATATCACGTTTGTACAATATAATATCACGTTTGTACAATATAATATCACGTTTGTACAATATAATATCACGTTTGTACAATATACTTTTCACATTCTTACAATATAATATCACGTTTGTACAATATAGTTTCACGTTCTTACAATATAATATCACGTTTGTACAATATAGTTTTCACGTTCTTACAATATAATATCACGTTTGTACAATATACTATTCACGTTCTTACAATATAATATCACGTTTGTACAATATAATATCACGTTTGTACAATATAATATTACGTTTGTACAATATAATATTACGTTTGTACAATATACTTTTCACATTCTTACAATATAATATCACGTTTGTACAATATAATTATCACGTTCTTACAATATAATATCATGTTTGTACAATATAATTATCACGTTATTTGCCGCCATACGTGCGCACAGATGATGATGTGCGCGCGCGGGACTTTTTTTCTCGCGCTGGATCAGTTGAGCGCGCGCGTGAAGATCCCCTGTGCGCTCGCGTATGTAATCTGCTCACGGTTCACTTCTAAACGCGCGCAAACATCACTGCTGCGCTCGATTAATATTGGCATTGGTTTGCCGACATACCACGTCGACTCCTACGACAAACTGAAGCCCTTTGGAATCTGTATAAATGGAGCCATTGATGGGTTTTCGAGAGCTATGATTTGGCTTCATGCCTTTTCAACAAACAGTGATCCCAAAATCATTGCTGGTTATTTCATAGCAGAAGTTGAAAAGAGGCTTGGGACACCTTCCCGGATTCGCTCCAATCTGGGAACAGAAAATGTCACAATGGCAGACATGCAAAGGAGTATGGATCATAACGTCAATAACTGTTTTATTACTGGGTCTAGTAATCACAATCAGTAGCTGCAAAATTTCCCCATGTCTCAATCCAAGCATAAAATAGAACTTAATTAATTCTGTAAAACGAGACATTTTCTCACGCTCTGATCGCACCAGTAGCCTAAAGTTTTCACGTAATAACGTGATAATTATATTGTACAAACATGATATTATATTGTAAGAACGTGATATTATATTGTACAAACGTGATATTATATTGTAAGAACGTGAAAAATATATTGTACAAACGTGAAAAGTATATTGTACAAACGTGATATTATATTGTACAAACGCGATATTATATTGTAAGAACGTGAAAAATATATTGTACAAACGTGAAAAGTATATTGTACAAACGTGATATTATATTGTACAAACACGATATTATATTGTAAGAACGTGAAAAGTATATTGTAGAAACGTGATATTATATTGTACAAACGTGATATTATATTGTAAGAACGTGAAAAGTATATTGTACAAACGTGATATTATATTGTACAAACGTGATATTATATTGTAAGAACGTGAAAAGTATATTGTACAAACGTGATAAAGCTCAGATTTTTTTTTACCTGGGTGGCAGCTCTACGCTTTCGTAATTTTGACCTTAAAATGTTTTTTTTTTTTTTTCTAGCCAAAATAAAACAAATAAGACTTTCTCCATTTGGAAATGTTATCAGACACACTGTGAACATTTCCTTGCTCTGTTAAACATAACTTGAGGAAATTTAAAGGTGGGCTAATAATTTTGATTTTGAGAACATGCAAACTCCACACAGAAATGCCAACTGACCCAGCCGGAGCTCAAACCAGCAAACTTCTTGCTGTGAGGCGATTGTGCTACCCACTGCGCCACTGTGTTGCCCATGATGTAACCAGAATGGCTAAAATACACATTTACATTTGGTTTTACACTTCATTCCCGGATCATTCTTAAGATATACAGGGGGAGAAAAAGCCTAAAATCATATTGTGCGTTGCAAGTGCATAGATAGAGTATAGTGTGGTTTTGTGGATGTAACTGCAAAAGTAAAGCTGACTACACTTCTCTGTTGGAACATATAGTTTATATCTATTCCTCAGTGCCATCTACAGTGTGGGAGAGTGCAATAATCATTTTGATGTTCACTATTTATTTAATTTTTTTCTCCATCAGGGACTATGTGCAGTACTGGGCAGCCCGAGGGGTAGAGGTGGTGGGCTGGACGGTGAATACGGCAGTAGAGAAGCAGTACTACCAGCAACTACTGAAGATCAACTACATTACTGACAGCCTGGTGGAGGACTGTGACCCTCACTACTGAAACACCACATGGTGCAATGTTTGTTTGAGCCTTTTATAATTCAATGACTAAAGTTGCTTCACTTAAAAGATAGAAGTATATGTCTGTATTTGAATTGTTTAGGTTTGTTTAGTTAGCATGCAGTAGAGACTTGAATTTACAGGGTAACCAAGTGCTTTCATTGTGTATTTTACAATACAGGAGATGTAAATATCAGTGTTCAAATGTACTGTAAAAACCCACTCAGGTGAGCCAATTTATGACTATTTAGAGATAATCATCATTTTTCTTAAATACAGTTTCCTTTTTAATGCCAATCTAAGAACGACTTGGAGGAAAGTGAAAGGAGTTAATTTAATACTCCTGCTTTTCCTTTTCTGCTACTTGATTTGTGTGGAAATCGAGCTTTACTTATATCGATATTTAGTCTAACGTGTGGCTTGTTTTGCATTCATGACATGAATTCTTGCTAATTACATTTATGTCATACTTAAAAGGTTTGGTATTGATAGCTAATGAACAGGTTACATTTAAAACAGTAAGTCTGTAATTATATCCACCTTAAGGGAGTCAAGATATTTATGATATAAGCAATAAACTTGGTCTTGAGGTCAGTTCTCAGGCAGCTACCAAATGCCAACCTTATGTTGGACACTGAAATACTAATTCACTAATCACAATTACTTGAAAATGGCATGTTTATCAGTTTTCTTGGGCAATTATTGTAAAATAAAAAAATTAATTCTGAACCAAGAGACATTTTGTCTTTATATTTGCTTTTCAATGACCAGAGCCGGCCCTCCCAATAAGTGAACTAAGCGGCTGCTTAAGGCGCTGCTGCCCCTTGGGGGCCCCACAACCCACTAGTGGTTCGAGCCGTTTACTTGTTGAATCATTTTGATTTGCATTTTACAACTTATCTTCATTGACAGTGCTTTAGCACATAAATATTTATACATTTTCACTGAAAACAAAAATCATAATTTTATTAAAGTTTACATTGTTACGTCATAAGATTAACAGGAAGCTCAGTATCTCATTTCTCATATACGTTCTGTTCTCGCGGTTCGAGTTTGTTCTTCCAAGGAAACCTGCGAGACCAACTGGTCACAACATACACAGCCATAGCCGTTGCTTCATTGCCTGCCCCATTCATATGCTTGACTTATTTTGGTAATTGGACAGCAAAAATAAAACGAAACTTATGTAATTCTTCAGGTGTCGAAAAACTGAGGGGAAAAATGACGACAAAAAGAGAAGAGCACAAAAAAAAATTTTGCATCACTTTTAAGTGCTAATGATGATGTTAAAGACATCTAGTAGCACATTCATTGAAAACAGACAATTACAAATTAATAAATGTTGTCTATTTATATTAGGGCTGTGCGATTAATCGAAATTGAATTGCGATTTGAAACACTGCGATCAGCTAATCGCAAGAGATTACGATATGAAATGAATATAGATTATATAATTTCCGCCACACAGAACAAATGCGTGACAATTGTCTGTGTGTGATCATCTTACTAGCCAATTGAGTGAGCACTCTATCATTCTGCCCTATCAGAATTGCACAACTGAATTATGCAGAATGCCCACAATAAAACAAAGAAACAGGAAAGCGCGAACAAGTGGGATGATGGTATCTGCCACTTTAGAAGCATTGATAGACCAATTAATATCCATGTTGGTAAAATGGGAATATTTCAAAGTTACAGACACCAAACAAAAATAGGTAATTTGTAAGAGCTGTCGAAGAACTGTTGCTACAGCACGAGGAAACACAACAACCTAAGAAAGCACCTGAAGAGTGTCTTGCTAAAAATTTTACTAAAAGTATTGCCAGTGACACTCAATATAGTAGCTAGCAACAGCTAAGTACATTCTCAGAGTTTTTTTTTTTTTTTTGCTGTTGTTACACCATATTTCTTTAAAAGAAATCATCACAATTAGATGTTTTCCCCAAATCACACAGCCCTAATTTATATGGTTTTAGACCCAGTTTTTTAAACTTAGTATAAAACACATTTTCCTGAATTTTACTTAAGCGTCATTTTACTAAAGCGTCTTTCGCTGACATTTGCAATGGCAATACTCAACTATTTAGACTAGAATAAGGTAGGGCCCCAAAATTATTTTTCTTATTTTTCTTTCTTTCCCCCAAATGTAGAGAGGCCCTTTTTTCATGTTAAATAAAAAATAAAGTACAACTTGAATTAACTTCACAACAAACACATCAAATAATCATTGAGAAAGTTCTTATGGTAGTATTTTTCAAAAACGTTACGTGAGATCTGCTTCCTTCATGTCGGTCACTGTGCTGTTTATCTGACGCAAAGGCACACTCTGACAGGCACATGGGAACAGCGGGCAGGGAAAACCAGCATTAAAGACACAGGCCACAAAAACAGCTACAAGCAGAAAATCCCAATATTCTGAAAGCTATAATAAATAATCTGATCTAATAATAAAAAAGCTATAATAATAATCATGTCTGTCACTGTGCTGTTTATCTGATGCAGCCGAGGCGGAGATTGAGGCACACTCTGACAGGCACATGGGAACGTTAAGCGGGGACAACTAGCATTAAAGGGTCACGAAACACCAAAACACATTTTTTGAGCTGTTGACAGTCGTATATGTGTCCCACACAAGCGGCAACCTCCCGCTCTCCCTCAGGAAACCAATACGGAAGTAACTAAAACTGCAATTCATCGAAATTCCGCTAGTCGTGGCCGCTCCTGGCCTCAAAACAGAGCAAATTTCAATTGAGCCCACTGTAAGAATGGCCAACTTTACCGCAGAAAAAAAGGTGTTTACAGCCTGGTACAAAAATAGATTTTGGTTAATACAGGTAATATTACCCTTCATGACAACTGTGAGGGGGGTGAATTTTTTTATAACTCATCCGTTTCCTTTATATTAAGTTATATTAAGTTTGCATAATTAAGGGAGTGGCCACTTGAGTGACAGCTTGGTCTCGTTGGTCGCCGTCACGTCACCTCAGCTGAATCCTGCAGTTTAGCCACTGAACACGGCATATTTATCGTATTTCTGTGTTGTTTTATGTGGCTTTACACACTCAACTGCCTTTTGGGCTTGTTTCCTACAATTATTAGATGGCATGGCATGCTGAGTGAACTTAATTGAGCTCACAAACCATTCACGTGGCCTCCGTTTCCCATGTGAGTAAAGTTATATACTTATATATCATCTCTATACATGTATTTGTTTTATTTAAGATCATTTATCGTTTATATTTATATTTAGATCTGTAATGCACTCCAGAATCTGTCAGATTGATTAGCTGTGGGCTCTAGAACAGTCATCTGAAGCGTTGTCATACAGTGTTATGCTGGATTTCATCGATAGTCTTACATTAACTAACACAGACTATATCTGAAGAGTTTGGAAGTATTTCACGTTTTCCTCCTGTTGAAAAACGTCATAAGAACAATGTTTAGTGGCTCAATGTATTACAGCAGTGTGTTTTTAAAAGTCTAAACACTTTATTGATATAGTGTACAACAAAGCACAAGTGGTCAGAATACAAACGAGTCACAGGTGATAAAGTATTAAGCGTTCTCCCAAAGTAAAGTGTGTCTGAACCAGGTCCAAGCTAAATGCTAGCAGGTGTCTGTAGCTCCGCTCACTCTCCGCCTCTTTGCCCTTGTTTGGTATCCCGCCGTGGGTGTGATGACGTGTGAACAAAATGGCGACGGTTGGCCGCGCCTACTTGTGGCTTCTTTTGCGCTCTTCAGAAACCTATGGGTGACGTCACGGATACTACGTCCATATATTTTACAGTCTATGGTCCCACACTGCTAAAAACACTATTAGGACACCTATATTTCACTAAAAAGTGTAAACTGGTTGTTTTTGCGTTATTTCAAGCAAATTCGTACTTCTGGTTTAAAACGAATTTTTGAAGCTGCGTCACGGTCATGACATAATAGTGTTGTATTCCAGCGTGTAGACTGGGCGTCTGTGCCAGAGTGTGTCTTATTATGTCTTATAGTGTAATGCATTAATGCATGAGTAAGGCTTGTTTCAAACCAATCAGCGCGCTCTATTGTGCAACTTCATTAATATTCATTACTGTCACAGTGTTTAGACGACACTCACACCACGTTGTATTGGCAAAACAAGCGTGAAGTGTTGCTCTTATAGTTTGCTGCAGTTAAGTTTCGTTTTCATTTTCTCTCTGTGAGAGCTCAGTCTCACGTGTGGATTAACAGTGTACGCGACGCTCGACAACAATAACTTACGTGTCTAAGGAGGAACATTGTTTACCTGAGAGCTGTTCTCATCTGCAAACGCTGAGATCCGGATTCGCTTGTAGTATTCTCTTCATAAAGATGCGGCTCTAGTTGCTGGTGATTGTCCTGTCTCTACAGATTTGGTAAGTGAGCGACCAGTGCTCTTTGTTTATTCAGTTTGTTCGTATCGAACTAAGTTAACCATTGCACCGAGTGTAAACATGTTAACACCACAACCAAACTTTAACCTCGTGTAGGATTTTCACCGCATTTAGTGACCGGAATAACACACGCGGCATTCTGACGCTACCTGCCGTGTGCATCTAAGATTCCGGGAAATGCGGAGGTTTTTTTTCTCTCATTCGCCGTGCGGTATCAAACATTGCATGAAAAATACACACTTAGAGCAGTTCCTCGAATCAAATATCTCGTTTGTCGCGAGGGGCATGAATGAATTCCCTGAATGAAAGCCAAACTGCAGTTAAAGTCCACCATTTAATAATTTGGCAAAAAATTTGACTACAGATGTCCACGTAGGTTAAACACCATCACTTTTTACTGTGTGTGTGTGTGTGTGTGTGTATTTTGACTCTGAAACTCACGCGTGCTCAAATAGACACTTCCACACCATCCCACTTTTCTTCCTCCGACACTCCCCCCTAAACAGAGCTGGACACGCCCACTTTTCTGACTTTTTCCAAAGTAGAGGTGTGAAAACACCCTGCTGAAACGAGGGGGTTTCATGGCCCTTTAAAGACACAGGCCACAAAAACAGCTACAAGCAGAAAAGCCCAATATTCTGAAAGCTATAATAAATAATCTGATGGGCCTTTTGAGCTGAAATCCCACAGACACATTCTGAAGACAAAAGACGTATGTTAAATCATGAAAAAGGGGTAAAATATGTGCTCTTTAAAACAACAAGTCTGTAATTATATATACCATAAGGGAATCAAAATATTTATTATATAAGCAATAAACTTGGTCTTCTAAGGCAGCTACCAAACGCCAACCTTATGTTGGACACAGAAATACTAATTTAGGATTACTTAAAATCCACGTTTATCAGTTTTTTTGGGCAATTATTATAAAAATAAACAAATACATTTCTAACCAAGAGACATTTTGTCTCTATATTTGCTTTTCAAGGACTGTTGTGCTGTCTATAACAGTTGTGTAACAATTACCTCTCCTCACTTTTTTCGTGTTATATTAACTAATAATTAAATAAATGTGCGACTTCAGTACCTTCATGGCAGATTAGTAGGTTTAACCATTCGGTTTATAACACACACACACACACACACACACAGCAAAGTTCAGCAGTATTAATGTGTACCAAGTCTGACCAGTTCCCACGTGGTGCGTCAGGCGCATCGCAGCTGCGCATATTTACGCAATCCATTTACTTGATTGCGCGATGTTTCTACTGTACACTTGAATCGGTTACATGTTTGAACGCATTAAAGAATGATGTTTGGATTTTACACAACAGCATGCTTCCCACGTGGTGCATTCAAGCGCCTCCTATCAGCGCAAATACACGCAGCCTGCCGTTTATCTCGTTTATTACACAAGTTTATCAGTTGCATGTTTAGCGGCATGATGAAACCGTGTTTAGATTGCACACACAGCCCGTTTGATGGTGTCCACAAGGTGAGTAGGTGAAAGGTGACCCGAGTTATACGTCGCGGGGGCGTGCCGTGACGTCACGGAAGAAGGTTGCGATCTGACCGTCCGAATTTACAGTAGTGTCCAGCCTGAACCAGAACTCAGAAAGTTTCCCAAGATAGACGCCTCTCGCGCATACAAACACACCGGACGCTCTGCGAATTAGCCTGGCGCGTAATTAGGGTAATAAACGCTCTTAACCTTGACTGACCTTACGTCTGCTGTAAGTAAACACAAGGGCGCTTAAGTCCACTCGCATATGCTCCCTGCAAGCGTCTGACCGGCAGATTTGCAGACGGGATCGACACTGCTTATTTCCACGGTGGCTGCGTCAAAAGAGCTCCGTCCTGAAGGGGGATCGCGTGACGTTTTCTGGCGTGCATTTAATTGTGACTTAAGCACTGACCGATCCGTAGACCTCGCGTGGATCTATCGTACCGCAGGGGTTCTCCAGAAACCGTCTCTCACATGATGTACACAATAACCAGAGGTCCCAGCAAACTTGTTACACAACGCAGAACAGGTAAGGTGAACAGGAACAGCATGCAGACGACGCAATATCGCTGATTTCTAATGCTTTTATGGTGTATATTTAAAAAAAAACGACCCACTTATAGACCTTGGCTGATGTATTAACACATACTTTCTCTATTTCAGGCCCTACACAACAGATTGAGAGCAAAGGAAACGACCTGAAACAGAAGCAGAGCCACTGGCTTGTATCGGAGTGAGTGATATAATGTAACACATCTAGTACCTGATTGATCTCCTCACGTGAGTTTGGTCACTAAGGGGAAACTTAAACATGATTTAACTGCCCCATCGTCCTTGTTTCGTTTATACGCAGTGGACATTTAAAAGTATCCACAGACAACAAGGTGGCCTCATTCATAAATCAGGACGTGCTGTTTTTACCCCTTTGCCAGAGTCGCATGTTTTTGCAGCGCCGTGTGACCTTGCAACAGTAGCGCGTGCGCGTGAACGAGAGCGCGTGGAGTGTCGGCTTGTTTGAAGATTGTGTCGCGATTTCTGTCGGTACTCATTTCTGTAGATAGGGATTAATAATTGATCTTTTGGCGTTATTATATTGCGAGCACATGCTTGTCACACCCCTTATATTCCCACAAGGACGTTGTGCAGCACCATGTGCTGCTTTCTAAGGCGATTTTTACGACGGTCATGCGTTCGCGTATGCGTCCTGTCAATTGAGTTTGATATTTGAATAGCGACCCATTGATGATGATGATGACGATGGTGGTTATGTTAATATAGTTAGTAAATGGGTTTTATAACGCGTCACTATAGAAACGAGGTTGTGTAAGGAAGTATTTGGTCTTAAAGGGACAGTTCACCAAAATATTGTGACAGGCTTTTCACTGAAAGGGATAGTTCACCCCAAAATGGAAATTTACTCACTCTGAAGTGATCCCAAACCTTTTTTGAGTTTCTTTCTTCTGTTAAACACAAAAGTAGATATTTTATAGAAAGCTAAAAACTTATAACCATTCGCTTATATAGTCGAGAAACCAATGCAATGGAAATCAATTGTTACAGCCTTTAATCATTCTTCAAAATATATTTTTACTTTTAACAAAAGAAACTCAAATGTTTAAAATAAGGTTAAATAACAGAATGTAGCTAAATCTATAATTTTAAGTCTTTTTCAGACCTGTTAATATTTGTATACTTTAAAGAACACACTTTATGTTAAAGTCAATGGATGTCCAAATAATTAGTAACTATAATTCCAAATAATAATGAAGAAATTGACATGGGCCAGATCATAAAAATTAAAGGATTGATGGTTTACCACCTATACCACTATGTATAACTTTACAACCAGGTAATATTATTATATATCTTCTAATTTCCCACTGTGCAGTTCACCAGCGCCCAAGATTGTGTTTCATCGTCTGAACGGAAAGCGGTACCACAGATCCACCTCTCCAAAAGCCGACAACACAACTGAAGGATTCACACCAGCTCACGAGGAAAATGTCCGGTTTGTTTATGAGGGTGAGTTCATTTTCCTGAATGCCGTTGTTAATGTCCTAGTTACCATTAAGACCTTGAGGCTGGTTAGCAGCTGCCGTGACCTCAGTGAACTCCAAGTATTCAAGGCTCCACAACTCAAAAGTGTCACAAACTGGCGAGTCTTGAGGTCATGCAAACTAAACTAAACTAAACTGCAGTTGTGGATCACTTGGGTTCAGAGTATCATTAACGTGCTTCGGGAGGCCGGTTCATCAGATTTGTGAGAAGAAGGACAATTGTTGTCTTGCAAAGGAGGTGTTTGTCTACAGGCCAGACCCCTCCTCCGCAGGCTGATGCAACGCCACCTCAAGGGCAGCTTTTAGGCTCTTTTGTACAACGGCAGGCTAGTCAACTGAGGCTTAATGTTTTCTAAAACTGCTTTACATGCTGTAGAAAGGTGTTGCATAATGCGGTGAAATCTCACAACCGGTTTAGGGAGTGTTAAAGCACTTTAGTCAATTTTGTCCTAAAAGAAAAGCATGTTTTTCAAGTTCTAAACTTTTTATTAACCCTTATACATTGTTGGGGATGTTTTCATCCACTCTGGGGTGATTTTTGAGTCTTAAATTGGCCATAACTTTTTCTGACTTTTGTGAAAATCTTATTTTGATGTACTTTGGGAAATGCTTTGACATTTTTAAAAACTCAATGATACACTCTGGGCAAATTGAATACCCTTTAATTATGTTGAGAATGAAAACATCCACTGAATTAAGCTAAAAATGCATCAGATTAATGTTTATTTTTTGCATAAATCTGTTAATCAACCTCAGTCCTGCTTAAAATGACTAAATTATTTAGAAAATTACATAATTTTGAATCTTTAATTGCCAAATTCATAAATGATGTCACTGATTTGGTGAAAAACTAACACAAAATGACATATTTTCAAAATAAAAAGTAGTTGTGGACTGGATTTTTTTTAACCTTTTATCAAAGTCTTGGACATGGGAAACAACTTCACCTTTGTTTCATATTGTTTTTGATTATTTTTCATTTTTTTCATTTACTGCTGGTGGCTGTTTCTGCTTGATTGACTTTCATTATAACCACATTCTTTTGATTACAATACCATGACACCATATAGTCATGCAGTTTTGATTGTTGGTGGTTTTCCCTGTTGGTAAGAGTTACAATTTGTCATTTTTTCTGTCAATCATCAGTTGTCACTATTAACTCTTTAGATAGGCCTGTGCAAGAAAAGCTTAGTTTCTGGATTTTATATGGAGTATAACAGCAAATTAACGTGTGTGCGTCTCTGAGTGTGTGAGAGTGATCTTGACACACTTACCTTGATGTGTCTGAGAAAATCTAAATGTGCATTTCAGCTCTCAAAACTACATAAAGAGTAAATAAAACATAGACTGTGAATTTACGCACCATCAAATGTGGTTATAATGGAAGTCAATGGAGCAAAAACAGCCACCAACAGTAAATTTGGGAGAAAAAAGGAAAATCTAACAATGCATCAAAGCCAATGTTGTTACTAATTGTTGACACGTCCAAGACAGTGATAAAAGGTAAAAAAAAAATCCAGTCCACCATTACTTTTTATATAGAAAATATACTGTAAATTACACTTTTTAAAAGCAATACAGTTGAACTGATCAAATACTACTCATCTGAAGTTTGCAGTAGATAAATGTACAGTGTTACAGTAATTATTGAAAGTCAAAGAGAAGTGATTTAAGCAAGATGTCCTTTTTTCTTTCTAAGTTCTAAACTGTTAATTAGTTTCACATTTGTAGTGATTTCCTAAACGGTATGTTTTGTACGTCACCACTAAACAAGTGGATTGTGTTTTCATAAGCTGTATTTTGGGAAACATTGGAATTAAGACTGAACATGTCTTTTCCTAAATGGTTTCTAATTTAGTTTGTTTTCGTGCACTAAATGAAGAATAATAAAAGCCATCATGATTCTGATTCACAATTGAATCATTTAGGTTGTGTTGTGAACTGGTTTGAATGAATCATTGATTTAAGAATTATTGCAAAAGAATGATTCAATCACTAATTAGATAACACTGTTTTAACAGCAAGCTTACTCTGGATAAAAGCAATACAGTTGAACTGTTCAATCAAATACTACTCATCTGACGTTTAATGTTTATAGTGAATAAAAATGTATGGTATTCAGTTATAAAGTATAGGAAGTCTAAAAGAATTGATTTTAGCAAGATGTCCTTTTTTAAAAGTTCTAAACTTTGAATTAGTTAAAACGTTTTGCATTTATCCGCTTGTTATGTGTAATGTCACGCAAAGCAGTTTCTGGGTCCAAGAGCTATATCAGAATGTATGGGAAGACTCAACAATGGTGATAATAAAGTTTACAAAGCGCTGTAATACTTTCATAAATCACAATCGCAATATATATACCCATGCCTAATATCAGATTAATTTTTGCTAAATAGTTAACATATTGGTGTCTGTGATGCAGCAAGTTCAGAGACGTTTATGTACACCGTGATTTTATATAAAATTCACTTTAATGTGTGATATATGACTGTTGTCTTAAACAAATATTTTCTCAATTCCAATGAGTAGCGGTTTGCACCCGGAAACCGTATTTCTTATATCACCATTTAACACGTAGATTGTGTTTTCATAAGCTGTATTTTGGGATACATTAGAATTAGGACTGAACATGTCTTTTCATAAATAGTTTCTAATTTAGAACTATTAGTTTGTTTTTTTCTGCCCTGACTGAAGAATATTAAAAGCCATTATTCAGAATTAAATCCTCCAGGTTGTGTTGTGAACCGAATGACTAATTGACAAGAATTGACTCATAGAATGATTCAATCACTAATTATTATGGGACAATTATTAAGTATTATAGTATTTATATGTATTTGTATTACTTGAGGTCAGTTTTAGGGGTGTAAAGGATGAAATGGTCAAATGCATCCACCTTTGTGTCTTACTAGTTTTTTCCACCCACATGTATATATTTAGACTTCAGTTGGTTGTCTAGGACTATGTCATGAGTAGTGTTGCGTGTAGTTGTTTACGAAGGAACTAATTACTATAATTAAATTACTGTTCAAATGAAAAAGGGATTGCTTTTCTTTTTTAGGTAATTTAAGGACAGTCACTTATAAGGAACTAGTATCTTATACATTGTATATAAATGAATTATTTCTGTATAAATCAGTTCACAAAAGAGTAATAGTTTTTATTATTTTATTTTATTTTTATTGCTGTTTTGAAAATATTCAGCATAATAACCTGGTTTTCCAATAAAGATGATTTGATTTGTCAGAGAGTGGCTCATGTTTAAGAACCAATCAAGACAAGTCAGTATGGTATGTTTTAAATATGGTACCATTTTATATGAAACAATTTTGTCTTGATGCATATTTAGGTCTGGGTCTGGTTTCACTCAAATATTGACTCAATTAAGAGTTTATATCAAAATGTTAAGAAGTACATTTCTAAACATAATAGTTTTAATAACTCATCTGTAATAACTGATTTATTTTATCTTTGCCATGATGACAGTAAATAATATTTGACTATATATTTTTCAAGACACTTCTATACAGTTTAAACAGACATTTAAAGGTTTTACTAGGTTCATTAGGTTAACTAGGCAGGTTAGGGTAATTAGGCAAGTTATTGTATAACGATGGTTTGTTCTGTAGACTATCGAAAAATATATAGTTTAAAGGGGCTAATAATATTGACCTTAATTGGGTTTCAAAAAATTAAAAAACTGCTTTTATTCTTGCAAAATAAGACTTTTTTCCAGAAGAACAAATATTATCAGACATACTGTGAAAATGTCCATGCTCTCTTAAACATTATTTGGGAAATATAAAAAAAAATCAAAGGGGGGCTAATAATTCTGATTTCAACTGTATATTTACATTGTCCCTGTTCTTTTTGTTTTGTTTTTTGAATAAAGGATTTTAAAAGTAATTCAGATTCAGGATGATTGACAAATGAATCATTAACTTCGTGAACCCGTTTCAATAATGCATTGAAAAAAAGCTGAATTTCCATAATTATAACCTCACATGATCTTTCTGAAATCATTCTAATATATTGATTATATTGACCAAGTTGTTAGTTAAGTGGTATATTTTTAAATATTTTTTAAAAGGTGTGTGTGTGTGTGTGTGTGTGTGTGTGGGTGTGTGTGTGTGTGTGTGTGTGTGTGTGTGTGTGTGTGTGTGTGTGTGTGTGTGTGTGTGTGTGTGTGTGTAAAACACTAGGTGGCGCTGTGTTAAAGCTTCTCAAATAACTTTAGGATATGCTGCCCATAATGCCTACCAAATATAGACCATTTTGAGGGATGTAAACCAAAACAAGGGTCCCAATGTATTTACTGTTTTAAGTAAAGCTGTTTTAACATTGAGATATGATTAAATTGCCTCTTGTTACAGTTATGAAATAGTTTGATAACAGGCTGGATATGTTCATGGGCCAATGACATGACCACATTGAAATTATCTATACTTTTAAAATATACTGCAATTTATAATGTGTATGTGTGTGTGTTTACTGTATACACACACACACACACACACACACACACACACACGTGTGTGTGTGTGTGTGTGTGTGTGTATGGTTTTTTTTTTACAATTTTTATTAAGCAGCATTTATTTGAACTTTTTTAGTAATTATTGTCCTTATGGTCACTTTAAATAGACTCAATCGCTTTGCAAAATGTACATTTTCCATCATATCTAAAGCTTTCTGTCATGTTTCTCTATTTTTCATGAGCGTATATAATGTAGTTTAATATTACCTCCCGTTTTGTTTTGGGATTGCAGCTTGGCAGGAGGTGGAGCAGAAGCTGGAAGCAGGATCCCAGCCGGAGCACGGGAAAGGTCCAGTTCAGTATGCGGAGAGAAACCCCAATCCCGGCATGAAGAGTCAGTGAAACACTTCTGTCCTATTTACACTCCTTAAATAGTCTCTACTTTGCTGATTTGTTTTCTCACCCCGTATGAAAGCCTCATTTGTCATTAGGATAATTCAAGTAAAAAAAAAAAATCCAAAGTTCAATGTTTCTATTACAACTATCAGGAAAAAACAAGAGACCACGTTAACCTCTTAAAGCCCAGGGTGTTTTTTACACGCATTTTTATTTCTCTTTGCTATTTGGGCGTATTGGAACCTAATTAAAATAAGATCTAAGTATCATCTTTTGAAATGTTGTACTTTTAGTGAAAAATGATGTCCATATATGTGGATTCTTGGTCCAAATTTACACAAAACACTTTTTCCAGACTGTTTTTTAATGCATATATAACATAGACATTTTTAACATGTTTTGACTATCAGAGAGTAAAAACAACATTTTTTGCCCATTTTAGACAGTTAAAATAGTGTGTGGGACATTTCAAATGATGACACTGTATGTCTGGAACAAAATATAAAACATTTAAAGTATTGATCTATAACAGGAGAATAAAAAAGTCTTTAATAAACGTGATCTTTACATTCAGTTTCAAAAGTTTTTGTTATGAAAGAAAAAGTGATCATTTTGACTTATACAGTGTATTTCTGACTATTGGTTAAATATCCCTGTTCAACATGACAATAAGGTTTTGTGGTCCAGGGTCACATATTGGTTTCTACTTTTAACATTTCCTCAATTTTAAATCATAAATATTATTTGCCTTTTTTTTTTTTCAGAAAATGACTTTTGGTTGAAATAACAAATGTTGGTAATTGTCGTGGTTTAAAAAATGACAGCAATGGCATGTCTAAAAAAAAAAAAAATGAGTACAAATATTTGAACATGACACACCTTTGCTGTTTTATGCAAAAATAAAGCCCCGAAATAACAATTTAGTTCGGTGTTTGAAGAGAAAAATACACTTTTTTTTTGTTTAGTAAGTAAACTAATGATGACATTTGTTTCCACTTTAAAAATATAAAAGGTGTCATTTAAAACCTGTTTTGTATAAATAATGGCACCATCTCTATTCTCAGACAACATAATACTCATGTTATAAACTTAAAAGAGATTCGTATAAAAATAAATATTTATTTTAGTAACTGGGTTGGGCGATTAATCGGAGAGTAATTAAAATCAACATTTAGAATAAACTATTTTATTTTTCCAGGATGATTTTTTCAAATACTTTCCCTACAGGTCACATGACCCCGCTTTGTTAAAGGCTGAGGCTGATTTACTTCCGCAGCCATATCTGATCTCTGGTCAAGTAGGACGATGAACCCATACCTGAGCCCTACTTTGCACTACATTGACGATAATTAAAAGCTGCACCAGAGATGTCTTGAGATGCATATTTTCTATTACATTCAAATTATTATTTACATTAAAATATTAGTTTACAGAAGATTCAAGAAATGCAGTGTTTAAAACATTATTTACAGGAAATACAAGAGTCATTTTATTTAGAAGAGATGCTGCTTATTTTCTACTTTTAACATGAAAAACACTGAAAATAATTTATTTTGTTTCCAAAAGTGATTTATTTTCATATTTTCATTTATTTTCTTTTTATGAGAAAAACGTGACTGTTGAACAACACACAATGCCTAAAACCAACCGTAAAGTTCAGGAAATAATCATAGATGGTAGATAGTGTGTGTTTCCATCAATTATTTTTTAAATCCAGTAATGCACCCTTCATTCAGAAATCTCTCACTTGTAATATGTGAGCATATTTACTGTACAAAACGTATCAGTGAACTTTGAGGAAAACAAAATAAAACAAATGAAATAGTCGCTCTTTAATTGTTATCAAGTTAATGTTCAGTTAATCGAGATTTCGATTTTAGGTTAAATCGCCCAGCCCTAATTATTCACTATCAACATTGATTTTTTCTGAACAAATAAAAAATGTAATTAATAAAGAAATGTTATTAGAAGCTAATACAATAAAGCTAATATTAACATTTTATCCAAACCCATGTCTAATAAATCAGGTAAATCCAGAGAAATGATCAAATGGTCTGTATTTGTATTGTCTATAGTGTCTCACAGCTGCATTACAAACAATGTTCATGTTGCTCCCCAGGCCCGGCGCTGCGGGGGGGCAAAGGGGGGCATTGCCCCCTCAGAAAGAATTTGTGCCCCCCCCAGTTTTCATAAAGGATTGTTCACTCAAAACTGAAAATTCTTTCTGTCATTAATTACTAACACTCCTGTCGTTCCAACCTTTAGAACACACATTTAAATATTTTAAAATATATGACATAGCAATTAAATTATGAAAATTGTCAGATTAAAGCTAGTCCTATAGTGCAGAGATCCGGTCCCCGCGTCAGGTCAGGTGCGCCCGTAAATAAAACGCGCACACGGCGATGGAGGCGCACTCAACTCACAAGGGAGAAAAGTGTGTGACATGATACGAGCAGCTTAATTCATTTCATGTTTTGGTTAACTAATTATTTAAACGCAACTCTCTTGAGCTCTAATGGGAAGAAACGCAGAAGAAATTTGCTGTTAAATTAATTTTAGCAGAGACGCAACTGCCAGTTATTTTCACATTAGTTATTCTGGAAGATATAGCCTAATAAAATGTTTTAATAAAAACAGTAGGCAGTGTTTTCCCACAGTAGGCTACACTATAAATAATATTTTAATTTATTAATTAATATTGTTATTAATATGATTCCAATTAAGCTAAAATTGACAAAACGCAGAACCCTTTGAATGTTTGCTTTCATTTTGACATTGCTATAAAGCGCACTTTTACAGTTGTGTAGAGAAACATCCCATTATGCGGCTGCAGTCAAGGTATAACACTTAATAAATGCCTTTTGCGTTTAAAGACGATCGGCCGGCGAAGTCAAGTTTGCAGTGTTATGAATGGAATATAGTGCATTAGTGGAATTACCGCAGATCAACCGAAAAAAACTCTCACGTGCCCTGCAGGTAGGCTGAATAATAATCTTTTAAAAATATTTAATTTAGGCTATACTACTGTTTGCTCATGCAAAATTAAACAACATAAAATATATTGTAAACCTATTTTAAGAGCTAAAATACAGTCAGCATATCGAGTTTGTTTTGACTTGTAGCTCATGGCCCTAAAATGAAAATAACCTGAAAACAAGTTATTAAAATAGGCTTAATAAATAAATAAAATGACGGGTACGCCTAGTAACCTAATGGTTTATGATGGTTTACAAATGACAACCAGACAATATCGCGAAATTAAAACTCATATGAAAGCCCAAGATAAATCTTTATTTTTACATTTAAAATGATGAAAAAACTTATATAGCCTGAGTTGCGTGTTAAACGTGCCAACTAATTTTCACGGTAATAACTGTGAATTTTGGTATCTTTTTTTAGGTATTTTTCTGGCTACACTAATGCCTTAAAATGTAACTAAGTAATTGTTTTGAATGACATTAGATTGTTACATTTAGCTTTTTCCTAACTTGGTAGGGTAATAGGCTACGTGAAGCGTGATGACTCGGCTGATTACACTATATTTATTTACCGGTTACGCGAATAGTCTGATCGTGGGTCAGCTTGCATGTGTGGGCATAATTTGACGTAGGCTATTTACCTAAAATTTTAAACATTCATATGCCTGTTATTTGAAATAAAACGGAAATAAATAAGGAGAATAACATGATTTAAAGCACTCGTTTGGCACTAAGCCATGATCCGTCTGCATTTATAAGCGGTATTACCATCATTAATAAAATCAGTAATAGCGAAACTGTAATTATTACTATTAAAACGTATATTACTGCCATAGGTCAGTAACAAAGTAAAGTAATAATAAATGTGAATAAATAGCCTAAATGAAAGGAACAAGAGAGACCAAAATTAGCCACCAGGTCTACTGCCCCCCTATGGATTTAAAATGCCCCCTCAGTTCTGATATCCTGGCGCCGGGCCTGTTGCTCCCACACTAGAAACAGATGAAACTCCTAGTATTTTGGTGGCATTATGCTAAATTTCAAAACTATTTAACAGACATCCTACATACACTACCGGTCAAAAAATTGAGATTATAATTAATAATAATAATAATTATTATTATTATTAATAATAATAATTATTATTAGCGTGATTTGTGAAGGATCATGTGACTAAAGACTAATGAAGCTGAAAATTCATCTTTAAAATCACTGAAGTTAATGATTAATCTAAATGATAATCTACTTTTGAACAGTTTTTTTTTATAGTAAATAACATTTCACAATTTGAATTGTATTTTTGCTGAGATAAATGCAGCCTTGGTGAGCCCAATAAGCTTATTTTAAAACATTTAACAATCCTACTGACCCGCCTTTTAACTGATAGAGTAAACATCTTCAATTTTGGTGCGATTTCGAATAAACTCAGCCAATCTCTTGTATTTCCCTTAGATTTTGTGCCGATTGATCTCGAGGAGTGGTGGGCGCAGCGTTTCCTGGCTAACATTGCCAACCTGTCATGACAGGTGCATGATGGGGCATGAAGAGCTGGTCCTGACTGAGGCAGTGCAGCCTGACTCTCTTAATCAAGGCGGATGATCATGTGAGAGATCTGCTGGCTAGATGAATTCAGCTATCCTGAGAAACTGTTTGCCCAGCCGGACTCAGACTCTCTCTCTCATGCACACCCAGGAGGAGCAGAGATTTTTTTTGTCTTCTGCTTCTCTCTTTGTTAGGATGTGAGATGTCTGTTTTTCGTGACAGATCTTTGCAAAAAAAACAAAAAAAAAGTGATGTTATAAAACTAACAAAAAAAGTGCAGTAAAAGTTTTTTCAAGACGTGTTTGCTCTGTGATATTTGTCTTTCACTTCCTACTGGTCACATTCATGGCTTTAAAGAAATGTATGGTTCATCAAATAATATTTAAAAGGCATCATATTGGGATTTTGAAATATAAAATGAAGTAGATTTATACATTTGTTTTGGATATAATTAAATGTTTTTGAGTTTGCAACACCAGAGTGCTTGTTAGTCATGAAAATGTAAGTATTTAAAAAAAAAAAAAAGCCTTATATTTTTGTTTTATTCTTATTTATTTTTTCCTTGCTGTATTTTCTGCAAAAATCTTTTTTTTTATTAGTTAATTTTAGTTAATACAATCTGTTCTAATCCATGTGAAATCAAATTTAGTGTTTATTTTGATACCTCACATTGTTTATCTTTAAGTGAACAATTAATCTGTGATTGTTAATCCACTCAACCCACATCCACATTCATTTTTCTTCAGCTTAGTCTTTTATTTATCAGAGGTCGCTCTTTAACTGAAGACGCATCGTGACCTTTAAGGGACTGTTTCATATGGATTTATTAATCATTACTTTCGTAGTTGTAGTTTATTAAAGATGCAAAACCCTTCACTGCACGTCAGCAAACCTTTTAATATTTGCAGCACAAGGGCTTTATAATAGAACTTGATCTGTTCAGAAAAAAAATATTTGAGTGCGTCTCACTGCTTCCCAAATGACTAAAACAATAACTAAATTAATATCTACTGTGCTGAGCAAGAGCGCTTCTTTTCCTGTAAACCTGAACAGTTGCATTATCGATGATGTGTGCTCTGGTTCGGAAGGCAAAAAGCAGTGTGAGTGCAGGCCGAGGAGAAACGATCGAGCTTCAGCGCAGTTCAAGGAAACTGTACCGAGTGTGAGTACACCCTTATAAACTATGGCCACTTTAGTTTACCCAGTTCACTTATAGCACATGCCTTTGGTCTGTGGGGGAAACCGGAGAACCCCAAGGAAACCCACGCCAACACGGCGACAACATGCCAACTGGCCCAGCTGGGACTTGAACCAGAGACCTCCTTGCTGTAAGGTGACAGTGAGCCTCCGAGCAACCAGTTTTGGTAATCTTCAATCAAAAACTTACCATTTGCTTCAGTGTTTGGAGTGACTGTCCTTCTGTTGGCATCCGTTTGATGGCTTTAATCACAATATTATTAACCACACCCCTTTTACCGTTAGTTTGCTAAAAGGGAATCAAGCGCAAAAAGAAAGCCCCACCCCGGCCCTTACTTATATTTAGATTCTCTTGGAAATACATAAACATACAAACACTGACTTTAAACAAAGACTATAGAATACACAAGATGTGTCACATATGTGTTTGAATGGAGAAAAGTGAGAAAATTCTAGCCTGGGTTGGGCTGAACAAATACACTGAGGTCAGGTTGAATGTGAGGTTGAAATGTGATGTAATGATCATCACTGAGAGAGGATCTGCATCCGGATTTGTTAAATCATTCATTTGAGGTAAATAGTCTACCTTTATTACATACAAAGTGTGAAGCACTCTGAAATGTTTAGATTTTTTTTCAATTCAACGCGCCTGGAAAACCTGAGCGTAATGTATATCCCTTCTCTTTTGTGCGCTATGCCCATGCGTCTCCATTTGAAATAATGAAATTAAAGATGCTGTCGGCTTTTGTTGACTCACAAAATTAGACCTGTGCCCTGGTAAGGCCTTGTTTGCAGCTGAATATAAATATATAGTTAAATATATACTTCATGCAGTCTGATCAAAGACGTACAGTGGGCCGCATGTGGCCTGAGGGTAATAAAATGCCCAGGGGCCTCATGTACGAAGACTTGCTTGAATTCATACTAAAACATTGCGTACAGACAAAGCTGTAACTGTGTAGGTGCTCCTTTCAGAGGTAGACTGGAGAAAAACTGTGTTATTTGCAAGTTTGTCCTCCGAAATTAATAATAGAAGAAAAAAAAATACAGTGGAAGAGTTTAGATGACGCGGTTAACGCAGTGGGGTCTGAACATCGAACTGTGAACCAATTAAAAAAAGAAATGGTCTGATGTAAAGGTGCAGTTTAAGGGGAGAACAGCGGCGCACCGTCAAAGTGTGGACTAAACAGGGAGGAACAGAGAATGCTGGACTAACATCCTAACAGTGCCATAGACTAAGGGTTATATAGATTTGCAAATGCTTATATATATTACCAATTATGTAATTTAGAACATATATGTGTCAATTAACCCAATTTATCAGTTATAAAGATCCCACTTTATATTAAGTGTCCTTAACTACTATGTACTCACATCAATAAAATAAATACAATGTACTTACTGTGTTTATAATGTATTTGTGAACACTTGTGGTGCTTTTGAGTTGGGATAGAGGTTGGGTTATGGACAGGTTTGGTGGTATGGGTAGGTTTAAGGGTGGGTAAAGGTGTAAGGGATGGTCAACAGTGTATTTACAAATGTAATTACAATAGTTAATTACAGATGTAAATACATACATGTATTTAATCAAGCATAAGTACACAGTAAATACATGTATTTACACAATAAGTACGTTGTAAATAACTATTAATTCCTGTGTAAGTACATATTAGTTAAGGCCACTTAATATAAAGTGGGACCGTTATAAATTTAAAGCAATGTGTTTCACATGTGTTGGTGCGATACTTTGCAGTGTGCAATTTAAAATAACTGCCTCTAGGAGTCGCCAATGGAAATAAAACAAACGTAGACAAGAAGTACATGTACGCTAGACATGAAGTTGGCGCAGACCAACGAACATTCTCACATTAGTTTCATCGTTAGTAAATCCAAACGTGAGCGTGAAACCTGGCGTATGCAAAGTTTTTGTGCGTATGCAGCGTTGATACATGAGGCCCCTGTTCTGCCTCAAAGAGACTTTACTTTAAATCACGGTATGAAATTAAGAACACAAAAAAAAAAACAATAGTACCAACTATTATATAAAAACGTGACAGACATGTCTTTTATTTACATTATCCAAACATTCATTTAAATTCATTAAAAAGTAATTTATTTACGTCAACCACTGTACAAAATAAACATCAAAGCGGGCCCCATAAATAAAAAACCCCAATGAGTTCTTATGTAAACTCTTTCATTGGAAGCTTTATGATCCTGAGTTTGAGCTTTTTTTACAACAGGGGTCTCCAAACTCGGCCCTGGAGGGCCAGTGTCCTAGAGAGTTTAGCTCCAACCCTAATCAAATGCACCTAAAGCAGCTTATCAAGCTCTTACTAGACATACTAGAAACTTCCTGGCAAGTGTGTTGAAGCAAGTTGGAGCTAAACTATGCAGGACACCGGCCCTCCAGGGCCGAGTTTGGACATCCCTGTTTTACAACCTCTGATTTTCCTTCGTTCTTTTATCACATTATTTGATTTCAGCCCTTACGCGACTCCCCCATTGGGCCTAGTTGTTTTTTTCCTCCCTCTTCCAGCAGTTGTGGTTTTTACACGTCGTTTTCTACGGGAAGTTGTGCTCTTGCCTTGTTTGGCCGTGCTGAACGTAATGCATTGAGAGTCCAGGAAGTCTAATAGTTTAGCAGCAGCTAACCTGATACCTGCAGCTCTCAAGCTGGCCCGCAGCTCCGCCAGTGGAAGAGGCTGGTACTGCAACACTCGACTGTACAGCTCTGGATCGGACAGGATGAACTGACGGACTGCGAGGAGTTTGTCCTTCTCTCGCACGACAGCCTGAGACGCTGTGATGCCTTCAGTGTCCGAGTCTTCATCTTCAGACAGACACAGCTCTGGGTTCGACCTGGAATGAGCGAAAAAGTGAAAATCAAAAGTATTGATTTTACCAAAATCGATCTTTTGACAACCCTAATATAATTATGGTTACATAAACAGATTAGGGTTGTCAAAAGTTTTGATTTTGGTACCAAACTCACCATATTGGTCACCATATTGGCTTATATTTTAGAGTGATGTCTTTACTGTTTTCGTTATAGTTATCACATAGTTATCACAGCCTTAACAGTGGTCATGAATAGCTATTGAGAGAGTGTTCTTAATTCAAATGAGTAGAGCGTTGGGCCCAGAAACAGTATTTCATGTTACAATGTAACCAGCAGAAATGAGCCGTACCTCTCGGACTCTGCAGTGGAAGATGTGTTCGAGTTTTGAGATGCTGATAAAGTCTCTTCTTCTTCTCTTGGTGGTAGTTTGACAGGTGAGACAGCAGGGGGCGCTGTAGGTTGTTTAAAGGAGAGTGATTTTGAGCTGGAGGCTATCGGAGGCCGCCGCGGTCCAGAGGTCTCGTCCTCAGACTCAGAGCTCTGCAGCTGGTGGGTGTATTGATGGATCTCTTTCAGCTTCAGAACCATCTGCTTCTTAGGCAGAGGACGCACGCCAAACCTGGAAATCAAAGTTCCAGCTTCAGTTTACTAAATATTACACACCTATTACACAGCCTGATTGTTAGATGAATGTTTATTAATACTATGAGTCCTTAAAAAGAGGGGAGGGGAAAGGATATAAATAGTAAATAAATAGTTTCATTTTGTTCTAGAATGTGACTAGTATTGAAAGTTAAAAAGGCAGTGCTTCCCACAGGTTTGAAATATACTTACGGTGGTAACCAGATCGAAACACATATTTTACCCACATCTTTTACAGTTGAAGTCAGAACTATTACTCCCCCTGTTTATTTGTTTCCCCAATTTCTGTTTAACATAGAGGAGATTTCTTCAACACATTTCTAATCATAATAGTTTTAATAATTAATTTCTTATAACTGATTTATTTTATCTTTGCCATGATGAAAGTAAATAATATTTGACTAGATATTGTTCAAGACACTTCTATACAGCTAAAAGTGACATTTAAAGGGTTAACTAGGTTAATTAGGTTAACTAGGCAGGTTAGGGTAATTAGGCAAGTTATTGTATAACGTTGGTTTGTTCTGTAGACTATCGAAAAAATATATAGCTTAAAGGGGCTAATAATTTTGACCTTAAAACTGTTTTAAATAATTGTAAAACTGCTTTTATTGTAGCC